ATATATGTTGAAGATATGAATGACTTGGAAGGAATCCAAGCCAATGTTGATGTTCATCAATTATTTATTGATGTTGTACCAAAAGTCAAGCTCTTGAAAACATCATTACATATAAAGGTGGAGGTGCAGGTGGAATTAGAGGCAGATTTAAAGCTACACATTGTTATCTAAGTGCTCAAGTTTATATTCAAATATCTTAAACAAAAGATGAAGATTCAATAGTTGATTGTTGGTGACCTTTATCAATATCCAAATCTTCTATTGTATCTTAAGTATCACTTTTTGAATCTAATGAAGATTCCATAGGCTCAATTTTAATCCTTGTTTTTTGAGGTTTATCAATAAAAACCTCCAAAGTTCCTTTTGTTTGCTTAGAGTCTTCACATTTAACAAACTTAACAATATGACTCTTAATTATAGAGCCATTTCAACATTATACAAATGATAATACTTAATATCTTCCACATAGCCCAAAATTATATATATTTCTTGCATTTGAAATAAATTTTTGAGTATTTTTCATATGGAATATGTATATATACATTACATCTAAAGGCACAAAATGTTATACTGAATGTTTTATATCTAATCAAACTTCTTTTGATGTTTTCTCTTCCACAATTGTAATAGGACCTCGATTAAAGACATATGTTGTAATATTAATGGCTTCTATCTATCATGTATTTAAAAATTATTTATGTTGTAACATGTACCTCATACTCTCAAATAATGTCTAATTCTTCTGTTCTGCAACTCTATTATGTTGATGCATATTAGGAATTAAAAATTATCTTTTAATTACCATGTTGCTCACAAAATTGTTTGAAGGCCTTAAATGGGTAGTCCCTACCATTATTACTATGTAATTTTTGAATCTTCAAGTTCGTTTTTTTTCCAACTAAAGCCTTAAAAATCCTAAAGTTATCCAAGACTTCAAACTTTTGCTTCATGAAATACATATAAGTTTTTCTTCAAAAATCATCAATAAAAGTAATAAAGTATTTTGCTCCTCTATGAGATATTATTCTCATAAGACCATTTATATTAAAATGTATCAATTTCAAGAATTTTGTTGCATGAATACCACCTTTTATTGAAAAAGTAACACAATGTAATTTTCCATAAATGCATCTTTTGCAAAACTCTAACTTTGTGTCCTTGCCTATGTTTAAATGAGTGACCATATCACTTCCTTGTAGTTTCTTTAAGCCCAAAATGCCAAGATGACAATATCATTAATGCTAAAGATCAGCCTTGTTCAAAGATTTTTTTGTCTCAATAACAAGAATTTTTTTTTTATCTTCATCTAAAGATCCCAATAGCTTATACAAGCTATCATATCTAACATCTTTGATGGTTGTATTATTTCATTTCATGAGACATATATCAACATTAAAATTGATTTTATAACCTTGATTTGGTATTTTACTAACAGAAAGAAAATTCTTAGTTAATCGTTAAATATGCAAGATATCATATACATCCTTGCAAATGTTGTTTGGAAAATTGGAAAGAGATCTTATCTTTCTTTTTGATGGCAAGTCTAGTATTATTATCTAAATAGACTTTAGGGCCTTGTGGTAGATTTTTGTAACTTAAAAATTAACTTCAATTTCTTGTCATCTGCTGAAAAGTATCAAAATTGATGTACCATTCTTTATTAGTATTATGCCAAATCAAGGTTATAAAGTCAAATCTATATGAAAATGAGTATGAGAATGTGACTTGGATTTCCTTTTCACTACCAATGTTGCTTCAAAGGTTGATTCCACATTCTTATTATGAAACTTTTGGTATAATAGTTGAGCTATGACCATTTGTAATGTTAGTTCTGTTGGAAATCTTGTTCCTAGTGTCACCACCAATGTCTAGTATGATTTCGGAAGACTCTTCAATAATGCCATTACAAAGTATGTATCAGACACTTTCTCACCAATAGAAGAAAGTTACTCAGCCATCTCCCATACCTTGCCTATATGCATGATAATATTATCACTTTTATTCATTTACGTAGTCCAAAATCTGTGAATCAAGTATAATAGGCCCAAAGTATTTTTTTACCTCATATGTTGCTTCCAGACCTTGCCATGCTATATGTGTACTTTCTGTCTTATTCATCATTAGAAATTTTGTACCTGTAAGATGTAGGCAAATTATAGATAGTACCCTGTGGTCTATATCTACTCATTTCTCTAACTCTTCTAGATCTATAGGTAATCCAATAGATTTCTTATATTTTCCACAAAAAACCTTCTATAAATCCTTATCAATGAGGACAAATCAAATTTTTTTCCTTCTACAAGTGCCAATTGTCTTTATGAAATTTCTCTATAATATGATATTTTGTTGCTATCTTGTAAGAAATATGCCGTAAATAGAAGAAATTGGAGAAATAGAAGGTGAGATTTCACACCTACTTATAGACTTTTTGAGTATTAATAAAAAAATCTTAAAGAATTTCCAAAAATTACCAAAATATTTTTAGAATGCGTGAAATTGTATCACTAGTATTATTAAAAAAATCAACTCAAGACTCCAAAAATTGTGATTTCTAGAACTTTCTACATAAAACCATGTCTAAAAACTTGAAAAATAAAATAAAATTTAGAGTTCCTTAGTCTTATTAGAGTTCCTTGGACTGTACTGGCCCTACTCCCACTACTAGATTCTATTATTGCTATTGCCAAGTCTCGCTTCTGCTATCAAGTTCCACCTTTATTGGTGGATTCCACTACTGATTTGATCAAATGAGTAATTGCAAGCTCTAGCACCTATTGCTTGTAGCACTAAAATTTGAAAATGTTCCTTCTCCTTCAAAATTAATGCCTTCTTGCTTCAATTATGAACTACCAAAAATATTAGTGGCTTGAATTCTAGGCTCACTAGCGGTTCAACTCCTCTCAAGCTAATGCAAAAAATAAAACCTCCTAAAAGTTGATTGAAAGATCAAGTCGTCCAAAACAACTTCAATTGATTCACTCAAATCCATCAAAAGATAAATCTAAAGTAGCAAGGCTCTGGTACAATGTAAGAAAATAAAGAAGAAGTATATTGCTAAGATAGAAGTTTTATGAAGAAAATACAAAAGAGTTCTCTACCTTACTATCAGAGATTGAAGAAAACAAATGCTTAAAATGAACTCCTACTTCTACTCTTTACATAGCACAAGTCCATGGTTTAACCACATGGACTTTCTAGTGTGAACACACAAAGAATTAGCCTAATCAACAATGTCCAATTAATATGTGGACACTTGTCTTGTTAGGCCATATGATGGCTTGGTAGGCTATGGCAGATAAATGATGTTACCACCAACAAATGGTGGCTATAACTTGTCAATTGGCAAAGCAATGTCAACTACCTATTCGACTTTATGTCTAATAGGAGTTATACACTCTATTAACAAACTTTCTAACAAAAAAATATTAAATTTAGTTTTAAAAAAATCTTTAATAACCTTAAAATCTTCAAAATTATTTGTAGTCTTGTAATATTTGCTCTTAGGCAATGACTTCATATTATCTATTATATAAGCTTATTTAACCTTTATTTATTCCAAAACAATTAAGATTTTGTTAAATAATATTTAGTTTTCAATCCTCATACTAATAGATAAGTGGAAGATGTAAATGTAGCATTTAAGCAATATTATTGATATATCATTAATTATTATTAAGACAATTAGACAGCTGTGTTATAACTAGCAATTTTTTATATATAATAGTACTATACAATGTTCCACTTAATGAATCTTTTTTCTTACCAAGTATATCTAGTTTAATTTTTTTTTAACTTTTTAAAAGTAAAAAAGCTAATAACAAAAGAAATTATAAGCAAATTATTAGGCTTCTATACAATAACATGGATATATTTCAAAGAAGTTCTTAATCAACAAAATGCCAATGCAAATATTCTTCAAGAAGAGTAATCTTCATTTAAAGTTGGTGATAAGATTGAACTATTTTATTGTAACATAAAGCACAATTAACCTTGTAAAAAGTTGGATCTTTGAATACTTAGATTATTTGTTGTTTAAATGTTTATTAATCTGTTACATATTGGTTTCAGTTAACCAAGCTATTGAAGATTAATCATGTTTTTCTTATTGAACCTTACATTATGCATCCGACACCTTCTCTGATTAAAATATATAACAATTAAGAATTTAAAGTTGAAGTTTTGGTTAAAAAGTGACATCAAATCAAAATGAGATATTTTGTTGCTTGGAACACACATATCATCGATGAACATACATATGAATAATTGAAAATCTCTCAAATGGCCGAAAATTGGCTTTTGTTTTTCATCAAAAACACATGTCTAGACCAAGAACTAAGTATTAATAGCAAGATACAAAACTGTTCAAGGTATTAATTTTTGAATCGCTCAAAAAACCCACATATTTTAGTGCCACTTCATTCTTCTCACATTAACTACTTCCTGCACAAACCTGAAAGTTGCAATAGCAGATATGACCATTGTCAGCCAAAGAACATTTCAAATATCAATAAGAGCTCAAGATTCTGTTCGCATACTGGAAAAGCATAGATGGTCCCACAGCAGCTACTCCCAAGCAAGAAACAGCAACTGGTTTTGATTTGGAACAATTGAGATGAGAATTTAACTCTGGATGGGATGGATATGAATTGGATGAAAGATTAGCAGTACAAATTGGTCACACCTCACACCTGACTACTGTGACAACATGTTGCACTATGAACGTCACCTGAAAGGTACCTTCTCATAGCATCACAACTTGATTGCCAAAAACATGTATAAGGCTCAGCTCAAAATTTTAGCGGAGATTCGCTGCAATTTCCAAGTTTTAGACAATGAATGGTGCCAACGTAGGTCTGAAAAATCATTGTAGTCTTTCTAGACCTATGTTCGTTCGAAAGCATATTACGAGAGGGTTATGAGAGAATCCCTATGCTGAAGCCAAAATCGGTACGAGGCATTTGGAAATTCAAATTCGACCACACAGAAGCAGGGCAATAACGTGAGGAAAAAACAGAAAAAAACATTGCTGGAAAAGTGAAGAACCAGAAGACATCTCAGGGTACTAGGTTTCGTTTACTTCGTGACACAAAGGGAAGTCATGTACCAGAAGACCATACGTCATTATGTGTGGTCTCTAAGAGAATAAACGACAGAACTTTTACTCAAATGAAGCGCACATACTGGATGCAGAGTCCCGTTTAGCACTAAGTCTACATTTTTAAAGGCGAACGCTCTGAGAAGAATGACCAAAATTTTGAATTTGATGCGGAGCCCTTAATCTTGCAAAACTCCTAGAAGGTCATCATTGCGATATAATAAAAACCTGCGCAGGCGGTTCAACATTGTGAAGAATAATATCAGTGCACCAAATTCACTGGTCAATATCAGCCAAACGCTGCGGCGTCCTCTCAATCAGTGCAAATCCTGCCAGAATTCATACGTTGGCTAATAGCCCAATTACAGCAGAGAGATGAATACTTCTTACTTGTTCAGTGGTAGAACCAGAAATGGAAATGATTTATGACATGTTCGGTGCAACATGAATTCGTGACATCATGACATGCAAGCACGAAGTGAATTCCAAAAAAAACAAAAAAAGGAAGATTATTGGCTCCGAAAACTGAATCGCAAGTCAAAGCACAGAATTGCTTACTCTTTGCCTTCCTGGCCTTGCAACTTGACCGGTGTACCACCATACTCTGGTAAAAGAACTGTGTCACCGCTCTTTACGTCACAAGGAATCAGTGTGCCATCTTTCGACTTGGCACCAGGGCCAGTTGCAACAACAACACCTGAGTTCACCTGTTATCAAAACAAAGAAATGAGCAAAAGGTGATCTCGGAATTTTACTTATTTTTCTCGCTCACCAGAAACATTAGTTGGGCAACCAAAATATCTAATCATAACATTCGAGAAAATCCGAAGCAGCGACACCTCAAGATCCACGATTACTATGGACACTTCCCATTCTCTTCAGCTCTAAACTCAGCACATCTACGCTTACAAATCCTAGAAGGGAGGTGACAGAGAGAAAATATCATTCCCTCTCAAACCCTTTACGATGACTAACGAATCTCTTCTGGAGACGATGACATAAAAGATGCCACAACAATGTCACGAAAGAAAGCCAAATTCCAAACGCGCTCTAGAAGTTCCATCGGCAAAGAAATGACTTAACACAGCACCGAGATTATAAAATACAACACCAATGAGGACCAAGCGGTTATACTCAAAAAGAAAAAAGGAAAGAAAAGACAACATCAACTCGCCACAAACAAAGCCGCATCTTAGTAACTGTGTCAAAATGAGATCACCAAGAGGTTTAGATACACAAGACGAGAAAGAACCTTAGTAGTAGTCTCGGGAAGGAGAATGCCTCCAGCAGACACGGTTGGCGGCACTACTTTCTCCACCAGCACTCTGTCCAGCAATGGCTTCAATCTCCTCGCAGCCGACACGAGTTGCGACATCGTGGTCAGATACTTAGTCGCAAGCGACCCTAATCACAACAGAAAGAGAGAGAGAGAGGTGAGGTAATGGAACAGCGGCAATGAAGAGAGGAAGCTCCACGAGGCAATAAGACACTAAGATGCTCCTTCAGAAGCTCCAAGAGGCTCTACAAATCGGGCAACAAAACACGGCCTCGGAGCTTCTCCCCCTTCTTCTTCTTCTTCTAGAATGCTCTGCGGGGGACAAAACCTCAGGGTTTTGCTTGGTTAACTGACACAGATCTATACTAGACGGGTACAAAGCGGGTATACATCGAATATGCCACGTGGACGGGTATGATTCGGGTGTATTACGTGGCTTAGGGTTTCTCTCCACGTCATTCCTTCTGTTTTATGATATCAGCCACTCGCTTTGTTTAAAAGTGATTTATTTTATTTTTTTTGCGAAGCTTTACGCCTCCAAATAACTCAATAATATTAAAAAGCATAATAAGCACTTGAAATATACAAGTTGTTCTTGAAACGCTTAAAAGTGATTCCTCAATTCATTCGGTTACTTTGGTTGTAAAATTGTGTCCACTTCTGGATTAGGTGTTGGGACTGTTGTGTGAACAAAAAACTGCTCAAGGATGTTATCTAATGCAATTGTTCATGCAGTCTATTACTACTAATATCAAATATATTCGTTTGAGTGAATTTTCATTGAAATTTTAATTTCAACCCAAAACGAAAATGCTGACGCGTTGTGTAAATGTGTTACAATATTATATTAATATAGCATGTGTAAATACTACATTGTATATTAACACTAATAAAAATCTAACATGCAATATGAAAACGCTCCTAATGAACACACTCCATATGCTTCTATACTTTAACCTTTAGTGACTGAAAAAACCCTAAAGATTTTTTTCCTCTGTATTCTTGTTCTTTTAATTAAGAAGAAGTGAAAAATGACATTGATACTCTATTAACACTACAATCAGGGTCTGGCCAAGAGGGGAGCACCGCCGTCGACCTCAATTGGCAGCAAGCCATGCTTCTTCGGAATTCCGCGTTTTGCATCATCGTTCAGTTCTCGATTCTGATCGTGATTATCGAGACGCTTCCAACAGTCTTTGTTGGGTGTGAATTTGAGACTCTCCGTGCTGAGCTTGCCGTCTGTGAAATGTGGTGAACGTTTGCGGTGGATGGTGATGTTTGCGGTGTTGATTGTTGCGTGGGTTCGGATTTGCATCGCATGCGCAGTCAGATCATGTCCGCAGAGCCATGGATGGAGACAGTTCGACCAAATAGTGCGCTGGGATGAGTGATTTTGCTCAATAATTTTTGGTAACATGGTGAATTCTGCCGTGGCGATCGTTTGCTCATGTTGCTGAGCAGGTTGTCTATGCGTCCTCTTTTGATAAGTCATGTGTCGTCTTCATCTTTTTTTCTGACATGAAATGCCGGAAGTTCGTGTATGACTTTGAAATGTAGTGGAAGGTCTGCTCGCAACCTTCGCACAATTTCGAGGACCATCTCCACAGTTCACGAAACACACGGGGCACGCGCCAATAATCGAGGATCCTCGCCCATTCTTGCTGGTCTTTTTACGAGCAAGTAGGATTGTTTTCCGTGTGTAGTTGATTTTACGTTAAGCCCATGACCTGATTTGATTTGTAAAAGGTAAATTATCCCCTATAATATTTCGTCAGTTCTCGTTACAGGGAGTCCTCCATCAGACTAAGCAGAGTTTGAAATCAGTGCTCATACTCGGATTGCTGATCATGTGAGAGATGCTCTGCAGGATGTCGTAATCGAAACTCAAAGGACCATATACGCTCCGTCCTGGTTCAAGATTCGCGGAATGGATCCTGTACCTGCAGGCTTTCAAAGCACTGTTCCCAAGGTCCCGAGATATTAGAGCAAGCAGAGTTGGATCATTCGTGGGGCCAACACCCATGGTTCCGAAATGCAGTTGCAGTTGAATCAGCCCGAGCTCTACACAAGTGAGTCATCTTCCATTTAAAAAGTATTAATTACAACGCTACCAAGTGCAGACATACACGTTTTGCGATTGTTGTGTGCAAGGGTAGAGTCATCAATAAATTCTGACCCTGTTGGTGTTTGACGATAAACCTGGTCTTTTGAGATGTTACAAATGCTCCCCCTCTTGTGTCTCTAAAGACTTCGTTTCTTTGGGTCGTGAGCAGAATTTTACAACACAAGAAAAGGATAGTTCTCTACATGTGGTTACGTCAATGTAGCTTAAGATCGGAGGGGAGAGATGGTGGAGGTTTGGACGAGTCTTTATATGATGCGTAATTGCAGCGGGGGTAATCTGTCCTGTCACGTCTGTCTCCTAAGATATCTGAATAAGTTATAAAACTCTGTACAGTAGAATTCTTTATGTAGAGACTTAATATATGAGTAACCTCTTGTTGGTTTTAAGCCATAGGTGTTGCTATGAAAATGGATGATGGGATCAAAATCAGTATTGTTGATCACTGCTGCTTCTAGATCAAGCTTGCTTATGGGTTGTTGAATGGCTCGTGCTATTCAGTCTCTGCTTGCGGTTGGACTTCAGAACTTATTTGCAGAGGACGACTCTATCGTGCCCACTGAACCAAATGCTACACTTTTACATGTGAGCAATCGTTCTTAGTGCTGACTGCATATGAACCTTACACCACATTTGAATGTTTTCCATATCACTGAGGATTGTTCACCGTGTAAAAGTCTGGAGTCGAGTATTTTTGACTGCTGAGACTGCCAAACCAGATTTAGAATCAGCATGTTTCTGTTTAGCTGAGCTCTGAGTTGTTACTTCGCTTGACTTTTTAGTTTTTGAAGATGTGCACTCATCTCAAGATCTAAAATGACTGCTGGCTCTGCCAAGGCATGCCCGGAAAGAAGCAGCTTGTCTAACTTTGACTCATGGGTTGGCGTGTTGTTTAGGATTCTATATCCTGAATCATCTTTGTATTTGATATGTTGGATCAATTACGTATAAACCAGGATTATTCGTCGACTTTTAAAAGCATCTCGGTAGCTCAGAATCGTTTTTCTAATATTTCCAACATTTTTACAATATTAATTTCTTTAGGCTCGTAAGCTTGTGCTTCTTCTGGACAGCGAGGATGAAGAAAAGGTGTTGCGTTTACAGTCACATGCACACATGGTTGAATCTTCTTGCAGTAGCATCTTCAGTATATCTTTAGTGTCAGATGAAAATATTTCAGCATACACCAAAACAGGCGTTTTTACTGATCCCGGAACATTTTCGCAGAGTTGGTGTCCTTTCTTACTGGAAGCGTTATCTTCCATGATTTTGAAGACGTATCTTAAGGAGTTCCTTAGTCTACCACATGAGGATAAAGTTTTCCTGTGAAGGCCAATTGATGGGCCAACTATTTCTCATTGGTGCACCCAATTTTTTTTATTTTTTTTCTATCATGCTGGTATATCCATGAAACATCCGTTCAACTTGCATGACTAGCCATTGGTTGAAACAGCCGATTTGAACTTGCGTTTGCTGCAGAAGATAAATTCGTTTACGAGCGAAGGCATCTCCTTGAACCCGACTGAGTTGTCCATACAGTTCCATGAATTCCGGACTAAAAACAGGTGTTCAAAAATGGTTTCCAGCTCCTAACTGATGTTAATGGACCATCGAATACTACCAACCCTGAAAGTTTCCTAAGTTGTCCGGTACTTACATTGCAACCATCCGTCAGCTTTGCGTTACAGACACGAGCATCTATTTCCGTAATGTGTGTCTCGGTATAGATAGCAAGATATTGATTGTAAGCACACAGTTCTCAGCTGCCTTTTCAGGTATTTAGATGGAGACCTGTACATACACATTTTCAACGCTCTGCTATGATTTGGAACCTATCAGTTACGCATTTCTAGGTGCTTCGTGTCTGAAGAATTGGGATACTGAGTGGAGGACTCACTTGGTAGGTTCCCAAGCTTCAGGTGTCCTTTGTGACTGGATTTCAGCATCAAGAGGCGAGAATATTCACAGGCACACCCCACAACAATAAATGTGAAAGAGGTAAGACTTCAGCATCACCACATAATCCCAATGAAGCACTGACTGAGTGGGCCTGAAGCCCACGCAACGTTGAAAGCTCTTCATTCATGGGTAGGGAAGAATGTCACAAGGTCCACATTCAGCCTTTTTAACGATGTACACACTACTTCCAGTGCACGGACATGCTTCCTACTGTGACTCTGCTTGAATTATGGATTGTCCCTTTGACAATGCTGGTTGCAGGAGCACTGCTTTGACTGCAACAGCAGCTGGACCCAGTTTATTGTACTGCCATGCCATGCTACCAAATACTCTTCATATTTGTTACAAAGCAATCTGGGAAATGAGGGAACTTGCATGAACTCTGGTGTATTGGTACTCTGATTGCAAACACTACAACAGCTGTTAATTCAGCTCAAAGTATTACAGAATGTGTGAGGTGTAGCTGGTGGTATTACAATTAAAAAACGAAGCATCAGGGTGGGTATTAAAGGAGACCTTACCACTGGAAATGACAAAAAATTTAGACCTTGGTAACATCCAACTTAGTTTGTTGTCATTTAGGTTCCTAATTGCACTCTCAAAGCTTGATCCATATTTTAAAAGGTTCACATACTTTTGGAATGTAATGGTATACATATTCTCTATTATAAAATCATTCAAATTGGTTTATGAGTATGTGTAACAAAGATAAATATTAGAATAAATAACTATTAAGTGCTCCTATTGTGTACTACTCTTATTTGCTTATCACTTGTTCTTTGAATGCTTTGCAATCAAGGTAAGGTCACAACTTTTAAATTTCTCAATTGGTTGAAATTGGCTAATTGAAAACTTGAATCTCTAAATTGGCTTTATACTTGGAAAAATATGCCCAAAAGTTTCAAGAGGGAAAAGTGAAGTAGAATGTATTTTTTTTTCCTACATGACATGAATAGTATTGTCTCTCAAAAAAATTGTTGGATCTATCTTAAAAAGGGGTTTCTCAAAATCTTTGAGAAGATGTGCAAAGAAATGTTCAAAATAACCATTGAATAAATAAATAAAATCAACTTCTCATAATTGTTTGAATCAAGATATGAGTTAATGTATGTAGATTTGTAATAGAAGAATGATTTTGTCCATTACATGCCCTCTTCTCACTTTATACAATATCTAAAGGTCTAGACTTCTTAATGAGAACTTTCCTTCACTATGTAGAGAACCTTAGTAAAACTATTAAACCATGGCTTAAGATTGTAGACTTCTAGATATAAAGACCTTGTGATTGTAAGACAATGAATCAAAAAACAAATAGAATAGAATATATATATATATATATATATTTATTTTTAATTTAACTAGACACTTTCCTATACCAAAATAATGAATCCTTAATTTCACAATATCATATATATATATATATATATATATGTATATATAAACTCATTCTAAGAATGCAACATGTCATAAAAGTTTAAGATAATATTTTATAATATGTAGTCTCTAAAAATATATAATATCTTAGTATTTTTGTCATATTTTTGTCACAAAAGATAATATATAATATCTTTGTATTATTGTCATATTTTTTAAATCTAAAATCCATAATTTTACTTAATTGGTGGTAGGACCCTCCTTGTAGATCCTTCACCCATATCCTCTGAAAAAGCTTTCAGTTCTGCCCGAACGGGCAAAAGGACAAGCACTGCCCATCAATTAACGAAGAAATGCAAATAAACAAAGAAGAGGATGAAACCTTGACCTAATGAACCAATCATCCGATAACTTTTGGTGACGTGTCAGTCTTGGCCACGTCAGCTTTGCGAACCGCAAATTGATTGATGTTCTTCTTTTAGATAAATGTCATCTTAGTGAAGCATATATACAACTCCATGTAACGTCACCACTATGGGATCTCTTCAATCCTCTGCAAACCTCTCCACAGAAGCAACATTAGAACTAAGCAAACACAAGGCGGAAACATTCATAACTCATACTCACTCTCATGTTCTACAGCTCACGCAACCCATCCGTCTACGAGTGAGAGAGAGTGAGCATTTCACCCTTGGGTTTCTTGAGAGCGCGGCACACCGAACCCTCACCGGGTCAGTGTCCGCCGTCGTCATGGCTTGTTCTTCCCAATGAGACTTCTCTCCTTCACCTCACCTCCCTTCCTCTTAGAGGAGATGCACTGCCAGGTCCAAGTCGTCGCCTCCCACACACAACCATCATTTGGGCTATACCTAGGAGAGTTAAGTAGACTCTCTTCTCCCCACATTCTCCCAAGACTAGTCTATCTAATCGACACTCAAACAACATACATGCAGGGTCTTGTGTATTCACGAAGGCACCCGAGACCCGAGAGTATTAAAGTCCACTCGACCCCTTTCACACCCCCATATGAAAGCTCCCTTGGGTCGAGGGGAGGTGACCATCCCATCCTGTCCTTATGTCACACCGCGAGCTGATCTTGGGCATTGAGCAACTCTTGGCTCATCTTGTTTTCACCAGTGCAAGGCTACTTGATTCAGTCCCTTACACTCCCGTGGATAGATGAACACCCACAAACACAAATAAGTCACTTTGAGATGTTTGTGAGTAAATCCCAAATCACATCCCAAATCAATGAAAGGTTGACGACAATTGTGACAATGTGTAAATATTTTTTTTGAAAACTTGAATTATTATTAACACTCTTTATATAGTCTTAGATTAGTAAAAAGACATTTACTTTGGCTTCTTATTATTATTTCATGTGGGAACAAACACATCTAACTTTAATAATAGCATGCATACTTTAAAATGCTATCATGTATATATATATATATATATATATGTATATATAGTTATAGTTATAGTTATTTATATTGAGTTTATTTTATTTTATTTCATTATGTGTATCATTTTAGTTTATCATTATTATACTATTTAAGCTGATATGTATTTACAGAAAATATGAGTTGCAACTACTTCAATTTCTTGATGCTACCATTATTGATAAAAATCCAATTTACAGAAAAATATGATCAAAGGAACAATTCTGTGATGCCAAAACCAATAATAAAATCCAATAATCAAAGATAACTAAGGCCAAATAAAACTACTGATATTAATATTTATAGTGAACCAGGGAATAACAACTACTTGCACAGGACAGTGTGTCTGGGGGTGCTAATCATTTTCCTTAAAACATTATAAATTTTAGGATGTTTACTTCTAAGGGTATTTTCACTTTCATTAAAACGTTTTGCTGATTATTTCTTTGTTTCTTTTTAGGTTTCTATTCTATTTTTTATAAATAAATTTTAAAATATTTTTGGGGCATTTTTTTTTCTTTAATACCACCTACACAGAATATTTTTTCTTGTTTCGTTTTTCTCAAGTATAATTGCTTGTGCAACATATTGTTGGAGTGTAGATGTATAGTATATTAGACGAGTATCAAATGATTAAATAATAAGGAAAAATGTGTAATGTTATTATCATAACCTGATTAGAGACCAGTCTAGTAATAATCATACATTTTGAGGTTTTATGTATTTATTATGGATTCCACTCAACTAATTTTCATTACCATGTTGATATTGGTTTCTTGGATTTTAAATAACTGTTGCATCTGATTGTGCCCTTTTAACTCGAAGTGGGAACTTAATAATTTTATCTCTTGTTTGTCTTTTTCTCAATTGTTAACTTCCATTTTAAAGTGTTGATGAGTATTTCTTTTATTAGAATTATTAAAAATAAATTGGAAATTTAATATTATCCCTCATATTTAATTAATTGGTGCATTATCGTGCATTATTATAGACTAATAATATTGTACACCATATTCTTGTTGTAGTCGCCAACAATAATTTCTTAAAATAAGTTACTAGACTTTTGAATCACCGTCATGGAATTAATATTAACACAATGCAATAACCTTAAATTTAAACTAAAAAAACTTTGCAAGTTTCATGTATACTGATTTAACTACTAAGAGATTATATTCATTAAAATACTGAAAACTCTGTCCAGTATATTTAATCAGCTCTATAAAAAAAAATTAATAAATTAAGAGAATGATTTTGATTGTATTTTTATCTTCCTACTCTTTTCCACGTAATATAAACAAAATTTTCGAAATTTGATAAAATTTTCACAAAAAATCCAAACACCATCTCAAACAGAATTTATACATCTTTGTATATGCATATACATATATACATAAATGTGTAAACGTGTGTGTGTGTGCATTTATGAATATATGTATATGCATATACATAGATGGTGAATGAACAACAATAACAATCATTTCCATAACATAAATTTTGAACAGTGTTTCGTGCTTTTCTTTTTTTCTTTTTTCTTTTTTAACGTGATTTATTAACATGGTAAGGTGCTGAATGTTCAAATTACAGCATCTAACAGTGTAGTATTTATAAATATGATAACTCTGTAACATGATTTAATCAGAATGAATTTCTTGAACTTGGTGTCCGAATCATATAAACATGACTATCTCATGGTTTGGGACCAAATTTTCACAATGTGTTATCAAGAAACAAAAACAACAAATTATTAGATGTATCGCAGACGTGGAACCAACACTATGGTGCATGCAATAACATAGATGCATTAAATGCGCCATCAAATTAGTGATCGATACATTTCAAGACATTATACTAATTGTTGTTGCTGAATGTGTTGCAAATACATAGCGAATCGATTATTGTCAACAAACCGTAACATCAGAAAACTGTGCCACTAACCTGTTCGAGAAAACGACGAAACTCACATCATAAGATGTTTCAGATCAAACAATTTAAAACGATACAATAATGGACATCCAAAGTTAACGAAGTAATGAAGGTTCAGTAAGGAAATTTGACCAATATGAGATGATCTAACATGAAGCAGCTTGTCCAAGCAGGACGCGGCACCTCTGAAGTGCAGCCTGTGAATCACAACGTACCGCTTCCTGCCCGCACCCTGCCCGACTCAAATCCCAGAGTTCCGACGACTCACAATTGCTTTATGCAAAATCGCTTCACTTATTCTGCGACAAACTGTAACAACATGGAGATCACCGCAGAAACAGAGGAGAGGTCATTCTCCTCTGTTCCTCGATGTGGTCATCGTCACCACCGTCTGATGCCTTGCTGAGGCGCACAATGCTCCTCTTAACAGCACTAAACACGATGCCATGCTCCATGGCGGTGATCTCAGTTGTGGCAGCCACGATGAACTCCACAGAGCTCCTACGAATGTCACCTAGGCTAATATTCACCTTCTCTCGACACGAAACACGCATGCCCATTCTCGGATGCCCATTCCGCCAGGCTTCTACTCCATACACTCACAATCCGTTTCAAACTTACGTGCTCAACCTGGAGCAGCAAATGCATGCATGCATTGCCCACGGACTTCTAAACCGGCACGGACGCTGCACAACACTGCGTTGCAACAGGTGTTCTGATGGTTTATATGCGTGCTATCTGTGGATGGATGCAAAAATCTAGGGGGTATAGATGAGCAGACTTTGAGTCCCTGGACAGTGATAACCAACTTTTACGATCGCGGACTCTCGAATGTATTTACTAGTTGAATACCAATTGGTGTTCTGTAGAATACATTGTTATGGTATGTGTATTCAATACGTATGGTGTATTCAGGTAATTGGATTGCATGTTTTTGGAATACTTTCGTATCCATTGTAGTTTGCGTTCATGGCATTAACTTGTGTCACGAGGTTTACAAAGAGCCACTGGGGGACTTAGCCAAGCCTTGAAAATTTCTATCCTTTGCATTGGAAAATATGTTTGTTTGATGTTAAATGGCATCTAAGAACCACGTTGTGTGGTTAGGGTGAGGTCTTAAATTTCACTAAAATGAACTTCCCTGTTGTCCTATATATATATATATATATATATAACTTTTTGAGACGTGGACTTGCGATAAAAATTGAAATACATTAAATGAAATAAAAAATTGTAATCAATGGAAGATGTCATGCAAAATGTCAATAAGTACTACTGGAAAGAAACTGCATATCCTGATGGTTTCAGTCAAGGGTTTTTATTACATTGGTCAATTGTTTTTAATTCTATCATGTTGTAAAAATTTATTTAAAATACTAAAAAAAGACATACAAACATATTGTGTTAATAAATATATATATATATATATATATATATACATAGATTAAAGGATCAGTATTGATATTTGAATTTTTGGTTTAATGTACATTAAATGGGTAGATTCTAAAACAAAGACAATGTCAATTACAAACCTTTGATGCATAGTTGAAAGAAATTCAATACATACACACACATACATGTTTATATTAAATTGAAGCATATTGTAGAATATTTTACACTCACCTCTTTTGATTATGTTTTAATATTTAATCATATTTATAATTAATGATCTTGAGTAGTTTTTTAATATTATTATACAAAAATTTAAGATGAAAAGAAAGTAACTATATAAAACCCCAAATCTTTTGTTAGGGACTTGTGTTGAGGTGCTTTAATTTTGCACTAGTTACATGTGTGTGTGTTTATATATATATATACATATATATATAATATTGCTAACACCACCACAATTTTTGTTATTGTCATCACAACTCCATAAAAAATTTAGTCTAGATTTTTTTTTGCTATTTCCATTCAACCATTTCATCATGGTACAATATAAATATTTATTTAGTTATTTTTATTATAATTTTTTTTAAAGAAAAAACTAAAAAAAAAAAAAAAAATATGTTGAGTATGTGGAAGGTTGTGGTGACATTAGCAATATTTTATACATGTACATACATACACTCTTCAAGATAACATTGTTTATTATAATTGAAGTTGAAATATTGTCTTTCAAGCAAATAAATAATGCATTTGAACTTCAAAAACCAAAATAAAGATGGTCGTGGTGTTGTTCCTAGACTTGTTTTTTAGACTATTTCATTTAATATTTTCTTGTTTGATTTTTGTGTTTTCTGTGTTTTGACATCAAATAACATGCTTTTTGAACTGATAGTAATAAGACACGTATACACTGAAACTTGACAACTTCTATTTCATGCATATCCTTGGTGTTTTTATTCTCTTTTTTTCTTTTTGGATGACAACAATAGCAAATGAACTGGGGGCATGTATTATTGAAGTTGATAGAATTATCTTGAGTTCTAAAAAGATTTCAGATAATATCTTGGATTTGAATATCTTCAGTTGAAGTTCGTAATTTAATGTATGTTATTAATGTTTTTAACAAATACCATTATTTTTATTCTAACAATTGATTTTCATTAATTTTGTGTTTATTTTAATATATAGAAGAACAAGAAAATGAAGCAGGACAAAAGAACATCTATCCATGCTTCACTATCCATCAGTTGAAACACAACATTGAAACAAATTTTTGTGCATAAAAAATGTTTACATAAGACATTTGTTGATGATAAGTGTGACCAAACAGTTCTACACATTCTGCAACTTTGCACTCATATGAGTACCAATTAACTTGATTATGTATGTACAAGTGTATACATGTATATATCTTAACTCATAATATTTTGCTCAAACATAAATACATAAAGAGAGAGAGAAGAAGAAAATAAAAAAGTTGGAAGAAGTTTTAAAAAAGAAAAATAATATAAAAAATAAGAATGTCTATTTTTTTATTAAAAAATATTTAAAAAGTGAAAGATATGATTTTTAACTCCCTTGAAAAATGAAAACAAAGTTGGAAAGCTGAAAAAGCAAAGTCTTGCATCTCATCACAAAAATGCATGCATAAGAAACGGATTGTAGTTGAAATTCAATGAGGACGTTTAAAAATTATTATCTTTACTTTCACACAAATGATTTTGGTGCAGGAGAAATGTGGCAGTTCTGGAAATGAGTAAAATGCCTTTCTCTCACTTGACTTACATAGATGCCACCCACAACACTATCAGAGCAACATATCCAAAATGTAATTAAATAGATAAATATGCACCAAATATATATATATATATATATATAGTCAAGTTGTGATGCTTTGTTTGTAATATCCAACTTAATCCAATCCAGTAATATGTTTGTAAGAGTTTTTTTTAACAGATTTTTCTATGTGCCATTTCTTTAAAAATTTAAGTTTTTTCAATCCAAAATAAAAAACTTAAAAATATCAACAGTTTCATTGACTTTTCATTTTATTTTATTTTTTGCTTTGGGAAATGAAAAACAAAGTTTATTTTGATAGCATGTATTTTGGTTATTATGATGAGATTAGAAGTAATCTTGAAGCATAACTATCTGATGAATAAAAATTCAAAATCAACAACTCGCTAATTTTAGTAAATAATTTGTAAAATATTTTTATTGATCAGATATTATTATATTTTTTGAGGTTTATTATTTCTAAGTATCAAAGCCATTATTTTAAGTAATTAATAATTATGTAAAGCAAACCTTGTGAAATAAAATACATTCATAAAATTTTAAACAAAAATTAGGTTTAAAATAAATATTTTTTTAGAATTTTCGTGAAAGAAGTATTCTAAGAATATTAATCTAACAAATTACACATAAACACACATAAAATTCAAAAAATGCACCACAAACCAAAACAATAAGTTTTATGTGGTTGCATTTCCATTACATTTTTTTTACAGTCAAATATGTTTTTTTTGTTTGTTTATTTTCATTTTGTATATATGTGAATATGCAAATATTATTATTATTATTATTATTACCATCATCATTGTCATCATTATTCTGTCCAAACGAGTATTTTCTTTTCCATCATTATATTTATTTGTTGTGTAGTATTAATGGAATATGATTATGCTATTTTTGGTTGTATTGAAATTCATCATTGTTATGTGTGTTATTATTTATCAATACTGTGCTCTTACATACTCCTCCCACAACAACAAAGCAAGGGCCCCCAATGCTGGTTTGGATGTTTATGTACATACACACACTATTAGAGTCCATGTATTTGGAAGAAGGATTTTGTGATATTTCTGTTGACAAAGTTAACATAAAAGTTCAAAAATCCTCAATATATATCTATATATATATATAGATATATATACATACATACTTCTTTACTGTTATGTGGACTTGGGCTCCATCACTCTTTGACCCACTCCCATCCATCTTGAATAAGCACTTTCAGTTTTTTGTGCCTACCAAATCATAGCCCCATTGAATCTACTAATTGCAAGCAGAGAATGAAGACTTGTTCCTTGTCCAGCAACAACGCCTTCTCTCTCTCTCTCTCTCTCTCTATATATATATATATGTATACATATGTGTGTGTGTGTGTGTGTGTATGTACACACATTATTCATAATAATATGTGTGTTTTGTTTTTTTTAACTTTTCAGTGAGATGCTTTTGTATGGAGCGGTATTTTATTTTACCCTGAAACCGAAAGCTTTACAATACCCACAAAGAAAGAAAGTAAAGAAACAGAAGGTGATATCTTCTTTTTGTACCCACTACTGTAATGCTTTCGTCTCTACACTACTATTTTGACCCTTTGAAAATCAGGTAGCTAGCTTCACAATGCTTTAAGTTATATTCGTTTTATTTTGGCAAAATAATAATGAGGATGGATGTCTTGTGCTGAGAGCACCAGCGAAGAATCCATCCACCCATCCATCGAAATATACATCCATGGGGCTCGCAGTAGTAGTCTGTTCATCCAAATCCATCACCATCGGGCTGGACTCATCCCAACCCGCACCAGGAGGAGGAGGCTGTGCAGCATCCAGACCAAAGTTAGATTATCATCCATCCAATGAGAACGCAGAACCGGGTCCACATAACAACAAGGGACACAACCAACCAAACTGCCTAATGTCATCCGCCCATCCATCACAATGCTTTCATCCACCCACAATGCATTCATCCACGACGCAGCGAAGGGGATGGGCAGAGAGAGAGAGAATGGGACTTGCGAAGAGAGAGGAGGACGAGGACGAGGACGAGAGGTTAATATGCAAACCAACATCGATAACATTATTTAATTAACACGCTGGGGCTGGGCTGGGGGACTGAAACTCTCACCGTTTGTTTGTTTGTTGCTAACACAGGGGAATGGATTATATATACATACATACATACATACATACATATATATATATATATTTGTTGCCAACACCACAGTAAAGTATAGCGAAGTCTGACGAATTGGATTAACTTACTGGGTCGCACTCACTCACTTATACATGCCCCTTCTCTCCTTCTCTCTCTCTCTCGCTTGTCGACGACGACCACAATTTGAAGGAAGGTTAGGTAGCTGCAGGCAGCGTTTGAAAGATTCCGTTACCGGACACGACGTGGTGGTGTATGAGGGAGCGAGGGAGGGGGATGGTGTGTGAGTGAGTGAGTGAGTGGTGGATGAGTGAGGAGAGGTGGAGGAGGAGGAGGAGAGGAAGAGGAGAGGAGGTGCATGGAGTGAAGGGGCGCTGAGTTTTGTGCATGATTTGGGGATTGTGATGGTGATGACCATGGTGGGTGGGGTACCATTGGGGAAAAAAAGTACACTGTAATGGAGAGCAACGTCGTGGAATCACAGTGGAGGAGGAGGTTTGAGGACGACCAGTGCACCGTCGTGCCATTGGCTGGACTTGGGGTTTAGAACCTTCAGAATTCCTCTCTTGAGTTTATTTCGTGAGAAATTGTGTGTTTTTTCTTTTCTTTTTGGTATTAATGATGGTGATGTGACGGAGGTGATTGCAGAAGATTGATGGAAGTTTGGCTTCTTCTGGAATTTGGTGGCATGTTTGTGATTTGGGAGCTGGCGCGTCGGGGTTGTGCGAAGGACGGTTGTAAGGACGCAGAGGTTATCGGTCGGTGTCTTGGGGTTGAAGGGTATGTGCACTGTGGAGAGAGGTGTGTAGAGAGGAAAGAGGAGAGTTGGATGGTGGATTGGAGGGGTCAGGTGTTGTGAGGAGGAGAGATGCAAAGTGCAGTAGGTGGTGGGGATTGTGACTCGAATGAGCCAGACCGAAGTAGGATGAGCGCTTGGTTCTGTGACGAACGCCAGCGTTCAAGATCCGCGAATTGTTGCCACTGCAACTGGGCACGTTGTTGCTTGATTGGAATATGCTAATACCCTCGTTGGCGGGCCTGCGGTGGCGGCATTTCTAAGGTCTGGATGACGCTTGCACGGAAGGGCTTGGATGGCAACTATCGTTACGCAGCTCGGGAAGCAACGCAAGATGGCAGACTCGGCAGGATGCTGGCAATGCAATGTGATTCTGGGCGTTGTCAGTTGTAAATGACGCGCTGCTGGTCGAAACAGAGGGCTAACGATTTTCGCGCAAGCATTTTTCGCAACGGAATATTGCTGCCGTGGCCTACATTTCTGAAGTCGTGAGCTATGGCTGCGAGGTCAAAATTGCCATGAAGCGCAAGCGGCCTTAGGCGCCTGCCTATAGTTGGGTCAAGCGCCATGGCGGAAGCCACAAGCAGCAGGCATTGAGAGGACTCACCAGCTCCGTAGCCATTCCCGCGAAGAGTCTATGTGTTGATCGCCTCTTTAATGTCCGGGAGGAAGACAGTGATGGTTCTTTTTCAGCAGGATCAGGGACGAGGACCAATTTAGGGAGAGTGAGGTGCTTAGTTGCTATTGTAGAGGCAGACAGCTAATGCAGTACGAGAAGTATGAAGGCGAGGTTAGACATCGTTGAGAAGGACACGTGCTTCAGAATGCGGTTTCCTATGTCCCAAATACTGGGAGTTATTAACTGCATCGAGCACACGGAGCTGTTCCGGAGATTGTGAAAGCTTTGGAGTTGAGTGTCTTTCTCTTTACTGCAATTGCAACTAGGAGGGAATGGTCTCTTCTTGGAAATAGCTATGGAAGCAAACACTGCGGCCGTGTCGAAACGGCTGCCGGGACTAAAGAAGAAATCATCCTCTAGGTCCGGATTACGCAACCTTGTACAAGGCTGTTGGTCTTATCGGGCACCTGTGGATGAGAAGATTGAGCCGCAACCCAGTGTCCCACAATTTTCGATCTCTGCGCTTCCGGATGACGTTCTGCTGGATTGCTTGGCGCGAATGCCTAGAGCCGCGCTGCAGACAGCCATGATGGTGTGTCAAAAGTGGCGATCTATCTTGAAATCAACGGAGTTTTACGAGATGAGAAAACAAAACGGGAGGGTGGAGAATCTGCTCTTTGTATTTGGAGGAGCAGGGACTGGATTTCTGTCAGCTGTCTATTGCAAGTCAAGTGGTAGTTGGAGAGCAGGTTTGTTGTGCTCTGGGAGGTCGATAGCGGAAAATGATTGGCTTAACGGTTACCACAACGAGAATCATGCCCTTCTTTATGCACAGCCTGCAGTGATCAAGCACCGGATATTCATCTTGGGAGCCAATCCATGTCGGTTTTCTAAATCATTAGGAATAGAGTGCACCATTGTTTATGACGCTTGGACCAAGACCCTTATGCGTGGAGCACCAATGCACTGTCCTAGGAAGAAGTTTGCTTGCTGTGTTATTGGAGATCGTATTTTTGTTGCTGGGGGCGCTAATCGCAATGATTCTGGGCGAGATGCCATTACTGACTCAGAAATGTACATTCCCGAGCTGGATACGTGGAAGCCTATCGCAAATATGCCTCGCAGGTAAGTCTCAGGGCACGAGGTACTATATTTCTGGAAGTCAAATAGGTATATCAGGATTTTTTCTGCACGTCTGTAGGTCAACTCATAGCTGCAGATACTTCTGATAACTTGCTCCGGGCTCAGTAGTCAGTTACTGTCGTTTGACAAGTATGTCCTACAGAAGTTGATATGGTTCAGACTTGACATCTGGGTTAATGGACTTGAAAGTCCACACTGTGGTTGATATGAAACCGTCATTGCAGGAGGTATGGATGTCTGGGAGCAGCAGTGAATGGCGTTTTTTATGTGGTTGGAGGACTCAAATTCAGCAGCATGCTTGGGCTTACCACGCAGCCTTATGCTTACGTGGCATCCATGGATGCGTTTGACACAAAATTGAACTGTTGGCAAAAGACTAGGGTCCTTCCGATGGGTGGCTGCGTTATTGCTTGCACAGTTGTGGGACGGGCTATCTATATGCTCACAAGCCACGCTGTGGAATTGTCATTCTGGAAGTATGATACTTGGGACGAGTCATTCACCCGCGTCAAACCTCCTCCTATTCCATCCCCTCTGCGAATCGACAACTGCTTAAAATTCTCTTGCGTGACAATGGGAAGTGATGTTTACATTATACAGGTGGGTCGATTAGTATTGTGTCCAACCTTGCACGATCATCGGATGCAATGCTCGTTCGTTCGTTTGTTGTGTCTTGTTCTAGTGAATTTCTCATTTTAAAGAACCAACAATATTAAATCAGGTTTAACTTGGAGTAGCTTGTAAAGTTTGGCTGCAGTGGTGTTCCTCAAATGCTATTTGGCCATGCCTGTTCAGGTTGGGGGATCTATAGACGATTTATTGAGAAGAAGCGGCCGCAACGGGCGGGGATATAAGGAGAGGTTAGTTTTAATTTATGACACTCGTACGCAAGAGTGGTCACGAGGACCTGACTTGCCCTACGTGAAGAACGGTGCGACATGCACAGTGGTGCAATGCTAAGATTGGCGTGAAAGCTCAAAGATTTTGCCGGTGTGGTTTGCAAGGAGAGCATCAAATCGTGGTTCTGTCCATTCATTTTTAGAGTTTCAGTTCTGCGTGTATGACACGCTTCTGCGGCCTGTCAGTGAGGTCATCGCACGAGGATGCTCTGGTCTCCGATGTTGCGGTGCAGTGTTGCTTGGTTCATATTGAAACCTTGACCGAGAGGAATACTCCTGGACTTTGTTCATATTTTGTGATGATGTCCACCACTTTCATGAAGACGGTGCAGTTGGTCAAACCCTACAACTTTTGAGAGTCCCCGAGACGTTCGCATGTCCTTCCCAGTTCATGTAAAACTAGTTGATCTCAAGGCTGGCTGTGATTATATCATTTTTCCTCTCTTGTATTTTTATAAGCAGCTGAAGGACTTTGTACCTAGCTTCTTAGAGTAGCTGATACTTTGAACGCTATACGGTATCACGGCTTGTGTCAAAGACTCTGACGTACTTGCCCCCAGATTCCCCCCTGGGATTTATTAACTGCTCCTTTACTCTCTAATCATCAACTCTTGAATCAATCAACCTGAAGGTTTTCACTTCGCATTTTTGAGTAGGCTGTTGAGCGTAGGAGGAGAAAGACCTTCTAATTTGCTTTTGCTTTTTGCTGTTCTAGCATCCAAAAGAAGCTTTTCTGGAGGTTGGAGTGAACACATGAATCATTCAAACTGTATTAAGCTGCTTGGTTCAATTTGAATGAGCGAACACTTCGTGATGTAAATTATTTGCTTCTTTTTTTTCTTCGTATGCCCTTGAGAAAGTCCCACAATGCATCATTTTCTAGAGGGTAGACTGAAAAACATTGGTTTTGACTGATATCTGCTTTGGTAGCTGGGCTGTGCTACAGTCAAGTGGATGTGGATAGTCTTCTGTGTGCAATAGTAGAATAAATAGTGATTTTGAAAAGGCTCCTTGAGTAAGTTACAAAGTCCACATTGTATTGGATTCTCGCACACAAGCTGGTCCACAAATTCCCATCCTCAAGTTTGTGGTCAAATCCACAGCCCACCTCATGAGGAGACTTCTATATTTGGTTTTTCCTTAAATTAACGGAATTTTCTATTCATTTTGTTCTTCCAGCCGTAGATTGATGAATGGTCTTGTGCACATTGTTAGGGCTCATTGTCTTCCTACTCTGTGATATTATATGACCAATGAAATCTTTTGTGGATAAAATGCTATTTGGGGTATATCAGTGTTTAATATTGTTCGCTTAAGGACTTAAGGTTTTTTAATCTATTTATATATTTATGTACATGACAAAGAAAAAGAAAAATAAAAAACGTTAAAGGTTGCTCTTCGTTGAACAGTCCACGATGCCTTGGAAAGGCATTTACAAATGAAAATATGAACGATCTCTAAATTTTTATGTCCTTTCATCTATCGCAGATGAGCAGTTCAGTGGTCCAAGTGATTAAACGATATCAAAATTTTTCACAGAACTTTACCTACGTATGCTTAAATTATATCATTCTTCAGCGGCTAGAACTTCGCTTGAGGTGTGACTGTCGAGAACTACTCAATAAATGGGAAAACAGACCCTACCAGGTGCCATGCGAAAACTCAAACCATAGTTCACCATAATCAATATCCTAATATATAGAACATAGGATTCATTTTATGTACTTATCATGAAACAGTCATCATCAAACTTGGTATTTCAAGCAAATCATAGGATTTTTTCGGTTCAAATGATGACTCAGATCAATGAAAGATTCCAGTTTATTATTGGATAATACATGAACCGCGCATACAACATTTAAAAACTGAAACCATGCATTTTCATTGGAATCTTGCTGAATTTGCTCGCAGATAGAAAGAGTAAGCCGTTGCGTGAAGTGTACCTATGCAATCCAGCCACAGCAATTGAAACGGACATGTGTTATCTCAGAACTCATTTCGTTTTAAATTAGGCGAGCTTTTGATTTTTCTGACAATTTGGGTTTGTTGGCAGGAGAAAAGAATTCTCTCATTTGAGGGTTATGCATCCATATGGATAGCATCCAGATCCCGGAGCCTATTGGCCCACACGCTCATCGCTGCTTCGAGCAGTGGAGGACCCATTGGAACACCGCCGGGTTCGTCGTAGCTTTTGCCCTCGCTTTGCCTCGCAAATGTGAGGAGGAGATATTTGGGTGACCAGTACAGGGATTCATTCTCGTAGACCAGGAGGAATTTGTTTACGGGCGAGACTGTAGAGTATTGAGAAAGCTTGCTGAGGAGGGTAGAGAGGCGAGGGGCAGTGAGAGAGGAACCTGAAAGGAGCAGGGGAGACCCATTTTGTTGATAAGATTTTGGGCAATTGTTTGTAACGAACTGTGTGGCCATGACTTTCGCTGCGGCTCTCGCAGCGTCTCTCGCAGGTCCCCACCTCTCTATTCCATCTTTTTCCTCTTCTAGGACGAAGGTCCGTGCTCAGAGCTCCTCCAGCTGCGCTCTCCCATTGACCTCGAGGCGCAGAGATATTCAGAGACAATGGAGGGTGCAATCTCAATCTGATCAAGCCCCAGGGTCGTCCAAGACGGAGGATAAGCCGACTGAAAATGAGCCTACTCCCTCATGGGCGAAACCGGGGACTGAGGAGCTTCCACCATGGGCCAGGAATGAGGCAGCCGCACCCGTTGATTCTTCCGGCGACCTCCCTTTCCCCGTCTATTTGATTGGCTCTTGCTTGGTCGCCATAGCTGCGGTATGTTTCCCTTTCTTGTTTTCTAGTAATTTGTGTCCTGGCCTTCAATTTTTTCATCCAGCCTTGGTTTTGTCTGCTGTACCCGTAGTTCTTTTTTTCCTTCCGAAGAGAGCCAGAAATGTATTAATACGAAACAATAGAGGCTTGATTTGCTCAAAGAACACCAACCTCCACCGAACGTGTGGTAGTCAAAATGCTTCGTGGAAACACGATTCATAACAACCGGGCTCCCAGACTCTCCGACCGAACAGATGTACGTGATGTGGAATAGAATGCACGCTCAATATGTTTCGTAAATGCAAGAATTCTGGGACTTGCTTCTCCCGTCTCTCTACAAATTGCATATTGACCTTGCAGTATGGACCATCTATCTTTGTGAATGTGTGGTGATTCTGAATTGGGCGATTTAAGGGAGTAAGCAAAGCATATTGAAAATGGATTCTATCTTAAAGCTTCATTGTTTTCTACCCCGCTGTGGTCGTGATTGAGAGTCTTTTGCGAAGTTAGTATCCTTGAGGCGGCAAGAAAGCACAACATAGATCAAACTGCTTGACTAGTTGAAGAATTGGTATTATATTCCTTGACTGAATTGGTTCATTGCTGCTGCAGGTTGGCTCTATATTTGAGTATTTCAACCAGAATCCCATATTCGGAGTTGTTCAGCCAGACAGTCCCCTTTGGGCTCCAATTTTGGGCGTATTTGCAATTACAGGCTTTCCCTCAGCGGTGAGTACATTGCTGATATGTTAGGCACCATTCTATTGACCATTCAACTTTTTGTGTAGTAGTTACACTCAGTCTCAGGTTAAATTAGGTCAAAGTTGTGTTGGATATCAAGGTATTACCGTGGGTCTCAGGTTTGCTCATGTTGACTCTTTCGTTGTGTGCAGGGTTTTTTGTTTTACAAAGCTATTAGTTTAGCAAACAAAGCTTCAGAGGAAGCCGACAGAGCGGACGGCTTTGATCCCTGAAAGGGTATTTCGACTTAGAGAAACTGAGCTTGCCCCACCCTTTGAATTTTCTGTACCATATCTTATTACGCAGCATAAATAATGTAAACAGCTGAGTTCTCTCATCCGGCGATTCTTCCCATCTCCTATGTATCTACACTGGTAGTTGGCATTGCATCTGGTCTGGGCTCTAGTCGACTTGTTAGGGACCGAGGGGGACGGTCCATAGCTAAGTTTTCGAAACTTGGGTATTTCTTACTCGTATCCTGTAAATGGGTTTGTAGAACGCAAATGGTCTCGAGATGCCTGGTTCTAAATGTGGAAAGTACTGGCATCTCATAATCCTCAATCAAATTGGAGAGAATACGACCACTGGAGGGGTCCAACTTACGTTATCTTATTCACATGTCCTTCCACTTGAGGCGGTCCAGCAACCGCCTTATGAAACACTTAACTTCCCACTAATATGAAGGTGAAACATCAAATCTGGCTATCAATTAATTCTCCGCTCAAAATTTATCTAGTAGTGGATTCCCGGTATCCTACTCCACAACAGAATACTGTGTTGCATGGAAATGATCATCGCTCTATAATCTTCCGAGACATAAGTGCTTGATTCACTCCCAAAGCTCCTGTTTTCAGAACCACTTGCCGCTTCTTCCTGAGGGCAGCTATGCGCTTTAATTTCTGTCGCCCAATTTCTGTAGCCCAAATGCGATGTGATGTTTCTCCATGAATGTTACCAAATTCTAAAATCTCACTTAGGAGGCCCAACAAATGAACTTTCCTAAGACGTCAGCCAGAACCTACAAAATAAACGAAACTGCTTGGTTTGAGGGTATACTAGGATCGAGAAACATGGTCGCTGAGAGACACTGTGCATGCATCTTTCGGGACTCATTCACCTGAGAGAACATCACCACTCGGCTTTTGAAGACTGCACTATCTCCATTACCCCATCTTACCGTTCAATTGGGGTGAGTTGTCAACGTATCCGCACATCTCTCGCACATCCGTGTACTCCTGTACAGATTTCTGTTTTAATTTTGTCCAAGATTAAAACTCGCGGGATCATCATGCAAGCATTCGAGGAACAACAAATGTAAGTATCTAGAGAGTTACCCGAGACTTCAAGGCAGTTCAAGGACTCTGTTCTTTCCCTTCTCTTAGTTCTGTTCCTTCCTTTCCCTTCCTGACAAGCATTGAGAGAACACAACACTAACGAGTTGTCAGATCATGCAACGCCCATCCATACTTTATATAGTGTTTTCTTTTGTTTCCGGTGGACAGTTACACCAAGAATAGTCTACTACGTTCTCAGCTCACTGAGAGTAAACATTCCTGCAAAGCCACAGCACTTTTGTCAATCCCCGAGTCCAGATCAAGAACCAAATCAGAACAACACGCAATACCATCGCCAACAATCAGACCAAGCTATTAACTCCGATGAAAAGTCAACGTTGTGCGTCTGCTCAGCTGCTATGATTGACGATCACGGTCAGAAGAGCTGCGAGTGAAGAGAGGATCATAAGAAGTTAAGAGTCGATGGCTGAGGTTTCAATCACGAATCGGGGTTGTAATGCTTAAGGAGTCCGAAGAATATGAGTAGCGTCACCTTCAGGAAGATGGTCACTATCCACTACAAATGGCGCATACATGACCTCGAGTACAAGCGCGAATGCTAAGATTAGCACAAAAACATTCGCTACAATAGGACACATGAGATGAGTATTCTAATTTAAAACAAACAAAGAGGCCTGGCTAAGTCCGGCAGCGGGTGAGCATTGGGTCCAATAGATTTCCAAGCGGTTTGCAGGAGGGAGACTTCAGAATCCTCAAAAAACCTCCGGGAATGTTCACAGGAAAGCAATGCATCATCTAATTGGATAGACATCACTAGATCCAAAAGACTAAACCTCAGGTTACAAAATTGTCTTGAAAATTTTACAGGATGGTGCAATAGCTTCTGTGGAGATGGAGGAGGAGTAGGGGTTGGGCCGAGATGGTTTGTCTGTGGATGGTTTGAAGCGTGGATGAGGGTGGTACCAAGGCTGTACTCCTTGGGAATCCGAAGCCCGTGGGCGCCGTGGACGAAGTCGGTTTGAGGTCTTGTTTGGGGGAGAATGATGGGATTAGAAGCATGGGACGGATCCGGGGTGCCCATGGCGGACGATCCAGTGGAAGCTCTGTTTGGTCGGTGCGAGAAGCTCGATTTGGACGAACAGGAAACGGGAGCGGATGCAGAGGCTGCGGCGGACAGCAACGGAAATGTGACGGAAGAAGTTGGCGCAAGAATTGGGGTGGACAATGCTGCGCCAATTGAGCCGGTGCCGGAAGCGGCAGGGGTGGATGAAGCAGCAGGTGCGCCGCAGGGTGAGCTATTCCACACAGGATTGTGGAAGGCTTATGGGGAGGCTAGTTAGTTTGAAAGGGGTGCGGTGTTCATTCTTTGGGTGAGGACTAAGGGTCTCTTGGACCATATATGTGGAGGCATTTGATGGCTGTAGTCAGTGCAGGGTGATTCGCGTTAGTATATCTGTGCGTTCTGCACGCTCATGGTCCAGTCCCTGACGTAAATTGCGTGTGCGCGAGGCAGTTGTTTGTGTTGGTTGTGGTGGATTGAATATGGAATCGATGATGGTGAATTTGTGTTGTGCGGTGGTTGTTTAGTGGCGCAGCAGGCGGAATGATGTTGGGGAGAGGAGGGTAGCTGTGTTACGATGGGCGTAATGACGCAGCAGACGTTGTAATGCAAGCACAGTTGGTGACAATGATTTCTATGTGACAATTATTTGAGGCATCTTTTTTTCAAACGTCATTGAGGAATTGGCCCTTTTGACGTTCTTAGGCACGTCTCCACCTCTTTGTTGGTTCTAGTTAACGCTTCTTCTTATGCTTACCACTCCATCCTGTTGCTTATCTAGCAGTATTTAATACACTTACTTTACAAATAAAAACTACATTTGAATTTAGTGCTGGCTTCTCACTTGCAAAATTTTCTATGCTACATGATATGTTTTAAGGAATCTTTTAAAAGAACTGTCTTGACAATTAAGCTTAAAGGATGTTTTAGTAAGAAACCTGGAGCAGTATGAATTGCTGTGCTCTAGTGTGGTTTCAGAACTAGATCTCTGCCATTATGGAATCAGACCGGCTTTGCGGCAGGATCTCTAAAATAAGTGGCAATCCGTACTTGGGCCTGTTCACCATGGCAAAATGAGGATGATGTTTGTATTTCGGAGATGGTAGGATTAGGAAACGTCGAAGTATCATGCAAAGCACAACCTTCACCTCCAGCCATGCCATTTTTTCAGCAATGCAGCTTCGGGGTCCAGCGCCGAAGGGGAGGAATGCTTGATGATGAGTGCAAGCTGCCGATGCTCCATTAGCAAATCTCTCAGGTCTGAACTCGGCTACATCTTTCCCCCAAAGCTCTGGGTCACGGTGCATTGCCAAAGTCGCGATTTCGATGACTAAACCCTTGGGAATGAACAGGTCGCCTAACTGGCAATCCTTAACGGCTAATCTAGCTATTGACGGTGACACTGCAAAAATTCGCGCTATCTCTTGAGATATCATCCCAACCTGCACCAATCAGGTACTAATTAATCTTAGTGCAAACCTTGTCACACTACCACTGGATCGTTCTTTACGGGACAAGAAAGAGTAATTAACAATACTACCAGGAACGATTGCTTACAATTTTGAGCCGAGAAATGTCGTTCATCTCACAAGGGTCGTTGTCACCGAACACCTCCAGTACTTCTTTTCGGGCGCGGTCCTGCCATTCTGGATAATTTGCTAGCATCAACAACGAGAACGTGGTTAAATTTGCTGCTGAGTCACTGCCAGCGAAGAAGAAATTCTTGCAGTTGTTTATAACAGCGTCGAGGATAAATTTGTGGGAGCTTCCATCAGTTCTCTCAGTTGCTGTCAGCATACGACCAAGAAGATCGTCGCCGTAAGAGTCTCTTTCTCCTTTCTGTACTGCCTCCCTCCGATCCTTGACCAACTCCATGATTAGTTTTTCGGTTCTGCCGTTGAGTTGAGCAATCGCTGTCGCGTGTTTTGTTGGTAAAAGCCTGCCAAAACCCTAACATCAGAGGTATTCTAATCTGACGCCTGAATAGACTCACTGGCATCATAATTTGTAGGCACCAATCGTGTTCTCTAGTGTACCTTAAGCCTGGGATCCAGAAAGAAGGATTGCCAATGGCTGCAAAGAGATGCCCCATGATTTCGTCTTGCATCAGGTAGATTTGTTTCCCCTTATCAAAGCCCTCGTTAAAAGCTGTATATGATATGATATTGTACGCAATTATGTGAATATCGTGCTCCACATCATGTTCCACTCTTCCTCCAGCTTGTGCTGCCATTTCCTCCCAGTTCCGCATTTCTTGCGCTGCACTTTTTACCATGCGTTCCACCATGGGCTGTACCACAAACACAGCACCAGGCACCGTATTTTATCAACATGCTCCGTTTCGGCTGCAACACCTAAGCGAAGCTCATGTCTATTGGTCGACGGTATGTCCCAAATAGATCCAGTTAATTCCGACAACAGCAGCCTACTTCAGAACTTGACATACACAGGAAAGACTTATATTCTATAGCACAATTAACTCTTTCGTTCTTGTGTGCGCTGCGGTTGAATATGGCAGTGTTTGAACCAGATTAAAATGGAGCACTAATTCTTTGTTCCAAGAAAGGATATGAAAAATCTACTTTAAATAAGTAAGAATTTCACAAGTCGGGCAAACAATGACGACGTAAACTAACCCGCATAGGCCATTTTTAAAATTCTACCTTGTAAACTAGAATTTCAACGGTGTGCACAGGGGACGTGAGCGGGAGAATATTAAACTAAGTGCAAATCGAGCTCGCATGAAATGTCTCGGAAACTGAAGCTTAACCCGAATTCACTGGGCCTACATCTGTGCTCAATGGGACATGTTTCCGCTAGTGCCAAAGAATGAAATTTCACCTTGAGCGATTCATTGGAAAAGCAGGGGTTGAGCATACGTCGTTGCATCTCCCATTCCTCTCCCTTCACCACAAACATCCCCTTTCCAATGACTTGGCTGAAAATGTGAAGGTCCAGCGGAGACCTTTCATACCACCCCATCCTGTTGAACAATACTTCTTTCGCCATCTCTGGGTCACGAACCACCAACCGCGTCTCCGATCCGACATGGTAGAGGAAGCGTTTGCCTGTCCAGAAACACACATCCTACATGATTCCTCCGCGAACAGGTAGAAATCCCCACACCCCAACTTCACGAAGCAAGTAGAGGTCTAATTAATCAAGCTCACCGTATTTGGAGAAGTACAAGTCAAATTGAGGCGTGGCAGTTGGCTCCAGATCGTCAAACTTGAGAGGCAAAGTTTCCGGAAAACTTTGTGCGTGCGCTCCGATTTCGAAAGCGTTTCCGAAAACCAAATTGAAGGGGGCTAATCGCACATCCTGCTTACCCATGACGCGTCTCAGCCTGAGCGGTTCCAAAAGAAAGGTGCTGCAAACGTTCCACAAAGGAACGAAAACTGCAGTGATAGCCACAACGCTGAGCTCCACAACAGCAAGGGCAGTCCATGACTGTGAGTACTCCACCATCATCGCGATTCCTAGCTGCTGCTGAGCGAACTGCCTCCTCTCCTGCTGCTGTATACGAGCAATCAATTGAGCACAAACCAATCTATCCACACTCTCAAAACTACAGAGATCTAAAATGGATCTTCGCAATCACTGACCATTCACTTCACTGTCCATCACCGCAAACCCCACAAATGTGAAGCAAAAGCAAGCAACCCAAAGAGATTTCAATCAACACCTCTAATTTCTAATAAAGGTAATACCTTGACTAACTCACTCACTCCCAAGGTCAGGGATAGTGACAAATTTCCTTATGACACCATAGTGATGTCATTCAGACACACAGTGGTGTCTGGGAATGTTATGATAAAAATACTTAAGAGTACAATTCTTTTTGTTTTCTCTTTTAAACAGAAGAATATTGTATATGTATGCTTTAGAGTATATCTTGAGTTGGAACAACTTTCTAAGCTTGTAATTGGTTGAAATTAAGAATTGTCTCTCTTAGTTGACTTTATATTCAAAAAAATAAACCAAGAGGTCTGGAGGATAAAAGATGAGGTAGAATGTGTTTTTTTTCTTGCATGAAATGAATAGTATTGTTTTTTTAGAATTTTTATAAAGCATGTTATAAAGAAATGGTCTTTCTAAAACAAATTGAGATAATATTGTATTATAACATAGCAATTGGATAAAAAAGAGAAGAAAATATTACATTAAAGAAGAGATTATTTTAAAATATAGTAAAAAAAATATCTAAAGTAAATATATAATAATTAAAGAGGTAGTAAAATTACAAAGTATTAATGCAATTCTATTATTAAAAAAAACTTCTACTTACTTCATAGAGCCATTAACAAGGCAAAACAAGGTTTATTAACAAAAATAGTATTATAGGCATATTAAGGTAAAAATAAAGAGTAGCAATAAATAAATAAAATTACTTAAATAAACCTTAGATTGATATCCATGGAGGACCAATGTTAAAGATATAAATCTTAAAAGACCTTGATACACTCTTGTGTTAGTCAAAAAGAATACATGTTCACTCAAACATGGTAATATATAAGAATTAGAATGGCTATTATCAACAACAAGAATATTAGAAAACTAGGGACAAGCAAGGTGTTGACAAGAGCAAAGAAGGCTTCATTCTTACCTCCATATATACTATTTAACTAAGAGCTAAGTGATAAGACATCTATTATTATTCTCAATTCTTTCATCACTTTAATTCTACCTCTTTGACCTTATCAAATTCTATACTTAATAATTTGTACGTACACTCTTTCTCTCTTAACTTCTTTAGTTAAACTATCATTAAATTTTAAATTTCAATCTTCTTTATTTTCTTATCATTATTATTTTTGTTTGTTTCTTTTTATTTTTTTGTGGAATTTTTATAATCAAATTTTAATTTAAAGTATTTAATATACTTGGTATCAATCCTAGAATTTGTAAAAAATTAATTTCTGAATTTTTTTGTTGATTACTACACAACTAATAAATCCACTTCCTATTGCAAACAAATATACTTGAATGCCTTAAGTATATTAATATTGAACTACATGAAGAAAATGAGTAATACCTGTTTTATCCAATTGAATAAACCTAAAAACCTTAGGAGTTATTACTAAAAAAAAAAAAAAGAAAAAAACCTAATAGTTATTATGCAATAACAATTCTTCATGAGCAATTTAACAACATGACATGCAAAAAATTTCACAAATCTTTGATTTGTAAAGCTTGCTCAAACTTTTATAACAAGAAAAAAAGAAAAAAAGAAAAGAAATAATTGTAAAATAATATGTAACCTAAATACATTGTCAATTAATATGCAATTGAATTATTGTGATAGTATGTATTGAACATAATATCAAATACTAAATTAATAATGTAAATTCAAACTTAATCTAAACCTAAAAGAAGATAGAGAGTTCACGGTCAAAAGATGGCAAGACTGAGTTGCAAACAATGGCTACGGTTTAGAGGAGCTAAAAACAACGGTATCTATATTTTTGGAAAGATGATTTTCATGGAAAATTTATCTAAACGGAATTCTATCCTAACCAATTTCAAGGCATGTCCCACAAAAAGGAGGATGGACATTTCAAATCAAATAAATAACTGAAGCATTCAAATATAGGATTTGTTTACGGAAACCGCTGAATCTCGTCTGCAAGCAATACAGCACCACAACAAAACACGTCACATGCAGGCATTGCTACGCCCAATCAATTCGCCCTCTTACAAAAACTAAAAACCAAACAGCACAAACATGATGGCCCACCAATGCGACACCACTGCCCAACACAACCTGCGTCGTAAATGAATTACAAATTGCGATTTTGTACGTGAGTCACATCCTCTAATTTTATAATTCCCTACAGATAACTATGCTTCGCAAGCTAATAAGACATGTACACGAAAAGAAAACCAAAACCAAAAACACAGGACCAACTGTGCTTGCATTACAACGTCTGCTGCGTCATTACGCCCATCGTAACACAGCTACCCTCCTCTCCCCAACATCATTCCGCCTGCTGCGCCACTAAACAACCACCGCACAACACAAATTCACCATCATCGATTCCATATTCAATCCACCACAACCAACACAAACAACTGCCTCGCGCACACGCAATTTACGTCAGGGACTGGACCATGAGCGTGCAGAACGCACAGATATACTAACGCGAATCACCCTGCACTGACTACAGCCATCAAATGCCTCCACATATATGGTCCAAGAGACCCTTAGTCCTCACCCAAAGAATGAACACCGCACCCCTTTCAAACTAACTAGCCTCCCCATAAGCCTTCCACAATCCTGTGTGGAATAGCTTACCGTCCATGCAAAAATTAGCATCCCCTCTCCACCTACACAATCACCAACTGCTGCAAACGTCAACACAAGCCACCATTGCGCTCAACTTACCATCAGCATTGCCTCCCACACTCACAAGGTACAAACCAACGTCAAGACTATTACCAGCTAATGGCCCATATCCTCGCCAGCCACCGTTGTCACCCGATCGGTCCGCCAGTTGAGGACATCGCCCGGCTATCGTCCTCCCACTTAGCTCATTCATATCACCGCCACAAGATTCACCAGCGTGAGTACTTCTGCTACCGAGCGTTGTAGCACACGTGTATTCTAAGTTGCTGTATCTCATGCTCCAAAAAACTGGACGAAAGAATATTGAAATCAGCGCCTCAGCTTTCGCGAGCATCACCACATCGTCTTCCACAGCCTAAAGCTCTACCTCCTGCGTCTCCTCTCCAGTCACAGAACCGACCGACTGACTTTCTCCGAACTGCTGACCTGTCATATGTCTGCTGAGATCCCGATTTTCACCACCTGTACTTGGAACGCCTAAAGGCGGTGGAGGAGGCACCGGAACATCTCCCCCGCTACCCTTAGGTAAGGAAAAATTACTGTAACCAGATTGACCCACTGACAAAGATGCCGCATCGACCGTCTGCTCCGACCGACTCACCCTGTGGCGACCACTACAGCTCGCTCCAAACACGTCTTCCTCTCCAGGAACATGCGCATCCTGGAAAGAACTTGGGTAACCCCCCCATGAAGAAGACCTCGTATGAGCACCTCCAAACATACGAGCTGCCCCATCAGAACTTAAGTCAGCACTTTCTGCCTTCAAAGATGCACGCCCATTGTCTGCGCTCCACACCTGGGGGTTCATACAATATGTCGGGGGAGGATAGCCCACGCCTGCGCCCATGTTGGTATTCGAGCTCGCACTGTCCGACAATAGACCGCCATAGCCACCTACATCACCATTTTTTGAACACCCGCCCACAAAGCTCTCACCCGCATCGCCGTTGTTCTCCTGGAAAGGACTCCCAGGGGCAGCACCTGGAACGAACATGTTGGCGACCGTTGACGTCATACCCGCACCTGCCATTGGAGGCGGCATGAGGGATCCTGTCACCGACTTCACGGGACCTGTTGAACCCCCCTTGTTAAAAGTATCCACGTACCTGACAACAAACAATGCGCGTGTCAGAAACCGCTGAGGGCTACGGGATACGCCATACACGTGTCTATCACCAGCTCTTTCGGAGAATAACATGCACAATTATGGGTACCAAGGTCCTCAAACCACAAATATGACGTTCCGGGACTACATGCACAGACTAAGTGCCACGAATATACCTAGACCGAACGCCACCACCTTGCCGACGATTGGAGTAATGGTTGCCGCCAATCGGTGCTAGGGGTGGCGTCCCTGGTTTTGAAGTTACGGCTTGAGACGATCCGTGAGCTTCTTCTTGGAAAGGACTTGTTCCCGTGAACCTGGAAGCTGTGGGTGGAGGTGGCAACGGTGCACTCTCAGGGGCAGGATCCACTCCTTCTTCGACCCACTTCTTTAGGTTCTCATCGTAATAAAACTTGTTTGCATCTCCCAACTTAGCCTGCCAAATGGCACCAGGCGTCCCTCCTTTAGACACCCCAACAGTCAGACATGACTCATACACGACGGGGATCCTTCAACCCGAGAGCGCGCCCACACGGCTATGCCTTATGCAGCCAGAAAGCAAGCCGAACTCTCACTTGATCTTACACCAAGCTAGTCCTCGACGCCCAAACACATTGTGGACCACGCATCCACGCAACGACTATCACCAAAGCTCCCCGACCTACACGGAAACAAAAAAGTAACACCCTACCTCTAGCAAAAGGGCACACGACTCAATCAAAATAACGTAGAACAAGGATTTCCTTCCCACCTCTTTACTATTGGAACTCCACAGCCCCCTTGCCCTCTGCAGAAAGGTGCTGCCCAGCCGACCGAGTCCCCCCAGACTTAATCCGCCTGCCCTCGAAGATACTCCAGACTGCCCTTCAGTCTCTCCCTGGTTACATTTCAAACCATATCTGTCAGCACGTTACACCACGCAGCCATACCACGCCTATGCCTCAGATGCCAAACCGCCTCCAACCCAGAATTGTAAAACCAACAGACGCACTGAGCCTGCAAGTATTCTATCCCTTCACGCGTCAAGTAGCTGTGCTGGACCCGACGCCACACGCCCCAAGTACCGTACCGTACACTACTACAGATTACTCTCTACCATAGCCCTGACCTTTTCTTCCTCCACTCCTACAATGTAGCATGCTGAAGCAAGAGCTAAGTGGTCAGAGCTTTTGTCTCCAAAACGTTGCATCCGACCAAACTCGTCGTTAATTTCTTTTCCTACACTTATTGACCATGTTATCGAAGAGGAAATTCTGTCAAACACGCATCCACATTAATCGCTCGATAGCAACACAACACTACATAGCACTAGCACATTTCAAGACACAAGTGCCGCCCACATTTCGAAACGGGGGCAATTCGGCGTTGAACTTCTCGTTCAGGGATTCCAAACGAGTGCACCCACATTCCATACGGCGACAACTAAGAGAAGACCGGTGCGCCTTAAAAAGGTTGCAATTCCAACACGGACCCCCACACGTTTCTGTTTGCATCTCATGTCCTGAAAGCTGACACACCACAATCATCTCAATTTTGATCGACAAACAGATGCAACCACAACCCGCCAAATTGCAATTCTCTGTGGAATTAGATGGCGCACAAGGCCCATAGCTTTTTTGACATTGTTGGATGTGCTGCGTAAACCCCAACTGGAGCAGGTCGCTCCAATGCACACTGGACTCATAAATCACCTCCACGCTTCACGTCTCATATATTCGTAATCAATCCGAATGCTGAATCACCTGCGCCTTGAGAAAGGTAGGGCAGGCAAAGTGCACACCACCTTTCCCAGGGTAGAACCGTGACAAGCCCCGCTGCAAGCACATGCCGAATAGTGCAAAGCCACGCCTACGAAATCAAGCTTCTAAGCACGACCCCGAGGGTCCATCCAACGAGGCATTCACCGTGCACCGCATAACTAACCATTGCACCGTCCAATTGCTCCTCCGTCAACCTTACCAACTTTCATATGCTGGCATTCAAGGTCGCATGACTACCACAAACATTGTACCATCAAGGCACCAACACGCACAACTGTACGGCCACACCACTCACCCCACAAGACACTCACAACTCACAAAAAAGTCGCAACATCCGCGCTCACAAATACCTGCTTCGCATTCCTGCCCAACTCTGACTCAGACTGGCTGCGACCTGGACCACGGTTCGGTTCTTGAGGCACCCGCTCCATGGAGCCTGCGATACACACTGATGGCGCTATTTCTGCACCTGACCGCTGCCCTCCGCTGCTATTGGGGCGTGAGCTCTGGCCCCCGTAATCATCCCCCTTATCCAACGCTCTGTACCCAAATGAATCTCCTGCTGCCGGACCGGATGGAGGAGGACCTCCTATCAACTTCAAAATGCCCCAATCCATGGTGCCCTTAATTCTTTCCACCAACTTCGATCCATGACCGTCCTGTACACACAAATATCCCACAACATTCAATGCCGCTGCCTGCTCATACTATTGCCTTACAAACCATGTTCCTTGCCCGACACTCCCTTCACCAAGAAAGCATTCGCCATTCCACCAAATCCTTCTGTGTGGCAAAATCTCATGCTCCAGCGGAAAACTTCTTTCTGTCCCCTCCTCCAGAAAACACCTGGGAAACCATCTTCAAATAGACAGCCCAGAATCCTTGGACGATTAAAGGCCCCCCATACCCAATTTGCCATCAAATGCTTCACCTATACCCAACCTCTGCTGTCCTGAAAATGAGGGGTACATCACGACCCTCACTTCCTGCATCGTTTCCCCTAAGCGTATGCAACAAACAAAGAGACGCAGCGGATAACGCAAAAAGCTTCATCCACGCACCTGCAAATGCACCCGAAGCCTCTCCTCCATTTGTGTTGCAAGAGCTTTCCAGGCTTCCACCTCGGGACTCCGGATTCCTGCCGACTTCAACGTTTTCAACACCGTTTGACAGTATCTGCGCATCCAACCACGATTCATTGTCAGAATCATCGAAACCTCTGCTACTCCGCTGCTTTACTCCTCCAGGGCTTCACCGACTGCCACACACCAATTCCAAAACACATGTATTCCAGCATTTCCACCCTCAAGGACGCGTCATCCTCCAAGATACCACTCAAGCACACAACTGCATGCTGCATTCATAACGTCCCCTTCACCTGTATCCACCCGCCCCCACACCCCGTTGTGCCAGGTTCTACCGGCTTATGGACTTAGCAAAGAAAACACTAACTGTACGATACACCATAATGCGGGATAGCAACTCATCACACCCCCACATACTTTAGTGAGTCTCCAGCCTTCCCGCACTCAACCAGCATTTCAGCATAAACAAGCTTGTACGGCTGAAACGATATCACAACACTCTGAGGTTTCCCCAACACTTTCGCGTGTTCGTAAATCTCTGTTCTCTGTCCAACACAAAACACCCAGTCAGAAAACTCACTGACGCGACTCCACAACCACTCCAACCCCACGCACACTGCTACATGCAAACAACGATCGGGCTCCGTACACCCACTTTCCCTTCCTCTCCAACCAAGCTACGAGCACGCCACCAACACCTGACCAGGAAAGCGCTCAACCACAACCAACGACGTGCACACCACCGAAGCACCGACTCCTCCCACACCGCACATTTCTGCTCAACACAAAAAAGACCTCACGCCCTACGTACCTTCACACCACGACCACGCAACGCAAAACGCATACACTGCCCTACTCAATTCCCACAAACCAGGATGCTCGCCTGAATGGCCTCTGCTGTAACAAACGTTCGGGGATTCTTGCAATGATCACCACCAATCAGACACAACCTTGCATTTCCAGAGTACGACGCTAGATTTGCATCGGCAACCAAATAACACAAATGTGCAGCTGCTACCTGCAACACCACATCAACCATCGCATCAGACGACCATGTGATCCCTATTCCATCTCCCTCACAAATGCATCACCCACGAAAATCGCCTACCTCCCCACGAACACCCCACAATCGATCGCCAAGATGCAACATCACACGCTCATCTCCTTGCGTGCGATTGGCTGCCATCATGGCAATATTCTCTCGCCACTCGTCCAGCATAGCCCCTTCTTCGTCCTGCATTAGTCGACCACCACAGTCAGACACCATCATCTGCCGCACAAATATACTCATAACCTTGTTCAGCCACTAAATTCATGACCCTTGCACAAACAACCGACCCGCTCCCTCCGCCATTCCAGAGGTGGAAAACCTCCCCAAGAGAGTGAAACAGACACCTTCACCCAGGCAGCTCTGGATCCGTCACCGAGTGCTCCCAAATAAATCCAATGAAATCTGTGACAAACGATTGACCTCTCGATGTCTATTAACGAATCAACACCTGGCTCTCATCGCTGGCAGCTGCTGTTCCACCCATCGGACTTCCTGTCTGCGCCCTGGGCGCTGCAAACACCTCTGCGGGCTGCCCGGCAAGAAGCAGACTCAGCGTACGTAGAGGAGACCCAGCTACAAACTGTCGCCGAGCCATCTCTGTCACGGTGTCACAAAACAACTGCATAACAACGTGCCATTCGTCAGCCCCAACAAATGCCCACCATCCAACCCATCCAACCCCCACGCTATCAATACATTGCAACAACACTCACGTGTCCACCACAACCCACTTACACTCACAGCTACAACTCCATACTGTCCCTCAAGCGACTACAAGCTATTCACACCGGAAAAACCGCTCACGTCAATGCATCGGAACTTCGGACGTTTACCTTTTCGCCTAGTTGTCGAGCAATCACGAGCGCAATACCCCACAGCTCGCCCTCCTGTGCACACCTCAATGCATCTTTTCGCTTTCCACATACCAGCGACTTTTCCACCTCCGACGCTGTGGCCTTTTCATCACCACCAGGATAAGATACAACATCAACAAAAACAATCTTTAAAATAAACAACAATATTTACAAACTAAATAAGCTTCGTGGTTTAACAACATAAAGGAACACCCATCTTACAAAACCTTCGGCAATCAACACAAACACTACAAAACTCCTGAAACAGGTCCGATACAACTGCAACACCAAACTCCAACCAACGCGACCACCTCCACGACAGATGGCTAACGAGATTATAACAGCGTCTGTGAGACCCAACCACGCCCGGATACAACAAACTCTCACAGCCCGACGACACATACCTGCAGTTGCTGCTCCGAGGGCACTCCACGCAATCCAGGATGCCTCTCAACCATTCCTGCATATGGACTTTGCTCACCTCCAGCACCTGCCAACAGCTTTGCTAGTGCTGCTTCTGGCCCGCCGTCTTCCTGCATGCCCACACCGTAGCAGAAATAAGACAATGTGCCCTTCAAACGTCTCCTCAAACCAACGGATAGGAGTTCACCTCAGATGTGATTATCACGACGCGTCCAAGTCAAGATCTGGATCCTAACCCTACAAACACGTTTTGAAAATCTAAATCCACGAAAATGCAAAATCTTAAACATTTGCTCCCATGTCAGATACACCCTCGCAATTCCTACGTCGACTCAGATATACTCCCTTTCCAAGCTTCGTGGATTACCCACAGCTATCACCCTTCCGTAACAACCAACGCATCCGTAACCCATCACGAATCATTTCACACGAAACTCGCATCACATAACTTCAACATCCCAAACGCAGCAAGGTAGCTGCACGTCCCGACCCAAGCCCCAAAAGCATGGTCAGTCACTGTGGGGCAAACACGCCATGGCATCACGACCCACCATTGCAGAGTTCCCCGCGTTCACGCCGGATGACCGCAACTTCCCATAATGCTGGCATGCCACCTTCAGAACTCCCAGCAGAAGCCGCGAAGAGTCATACGGTGATTGAGCAGACATCCGTTCGTCAATCCACCTCATCAACTCTTTTGGGCTACCTCCACCGCCCAGAAAGGGACCTGCAAACGTTGATTCCTCAGAAAGGTGGGTCTTCAGCCTCGACACTTGAATAGGGCCCGGCATCCACGCCTCGCCACTCGCAAAAGCCTGCTCCACCATAGCCATCAAAACGGCAAGGCCACATATCATATCGATATGCCAACTTTAACTGCTCAACGATCACCCGCACTAGCATTCAACTGATCCGCTCTTTTTCCACTAAGTTGTGTATAACGAACTTCAAATGTTTTACAAATCCAACCTCACACCAAACCAAACCCAAACAAATGCATAAACAAGTAACAAAACGCCTGTCAAGAACTGCAACGGCGACATATCCTGCGCTACACCCCCATCGCTACCAACCTCCTCCCAAACTAAACCTATCACGAAACCCCAACTCATCCCCTGCCCGTCTAGTGGACACCGCGACTCCAAATTCATCACTCTTGCTGCATGTTCTTACTCACTCCAACGCGCTGCAAGCCAATTCCACATCGTTTCTCAAGTTTCCAGCTGCTTTTGTCCACCACTGCAATCCTAAACCCGACAACGCGAGGCTGCTGCCATCACCACCACCATCCAATCGCATAATTCCTTCCACGCCAACCACATACCTGATCACCGTTACTTGTGTGATCCCTATGCTTCATGAAAATAAACCTCCCTCCAAATCCGAACGCTGCAAGCGAGACAGGCGGTCGCCCCACGCAAGTCCTTATCGCCTCTTGAACGCTCTTGGGAGGAGCAGCTGTAGGATTCGTGAATTGCTGATACTGTTTCAAGTGTGAGGCGTAGCCCCAAGGCTGCTGCGCCTGCTGCGTGTAAGCGTTGTGCCCGCAAGTTGCGGTATAACTATACGGAGAAGAGTATGAATCCGAAGCCAAGCTCTGGCTAGCAAACTGCTCCTGTTTGTTCAAGGCAGGGACTCCCCAATTCCGCTCTCCATTCACCTGCGGAGCATAGAAAAACGACGCCTCACCTGCTGCCGCATTGTTGTGTGTTAGATCCCACTGCCACTGCTTCGTTTTGCGCGGATGTGCTGATGACTCCGTGCTTACTGAATTCACACCTCCTGATGTGTATCCATCGTCCATGACGTTTGCACCATCACATGCATATCCCGACAATCCCTGAGGCTGCTGCTGCTGCTCATTACAAGCAACCGGCTTCTCACCGTAAGATAAATCGTTGGACTCGTTGCCGTAAGATTGGGCCTGCTGCTCTTGTTGCCCATGCCAGGATTGCTGCCCGCTGTAATCCTGAGATTGAGTATCCGAGCTGCTCTCCCAAGACTTGATGAAATCCGGCACAGCAACCCATGTCTGCGCGGCATAGTCCCATTTCCAACCCGGATACTCATCTGGTACGGTTTGAGTTGCAGCAGATTGCGTATCCCAAGACTGAGACTGCCCCAACCCTACCTCACCTGCTACGCCTCCATCCTGCTCTACGGAAGTTTGACCCTCGTCCGGCTGAAAAGCGTTTGCTTCTGGTATAGCCTGCAAGTCATGCAGCTCCACACACCTTCCAGTATAACCTGCATCCTCTGAACCAGCTGCAATTGTGCCGTAGCCCTCAACCTGTCGCCACTCGCCCGCTTGATGATCGTAATGCCATCCTGGATAAGGATCCGAACTTTGTGCTGCCTCGGTGTCGGTAAGCGCCGCCACAGTTTGCCCCCCGTGGACCAGGAGACCAGACCACGTTTGCACCTGCTGCGCGATTCCAGTGTCGTTCTCCGCTGATGCTTGAGGCGGTGCGACCTCTGCCCCTGCCAGAGATGTACCCGTATCAGGTGACCGCTCGTAGATGTCGGGCAATGCTTTCTCAACCACTGCCGCGGCGGGCGGTTCGAACTGGGTCGCCATGACGCCCATTCCTCCCGCAACCAAGGGTTCCGATCCCGTACTTCCCCACTCGAAAAAATCGACATTCAATCCCTTTTCCACCGCCCCGGAGCTTTGAAGTGGCCCATCAGGCGGGAAACCGCGCTGAATGGCAAGAAAGTCTGAGAACGACCCAAACGACTGCTCCCCCAACGTGCGCGCGCTCACTGCACTGAAATCACTCCAATTCTTTGCTTGCGCCTGCGGGCGGGAACCCTGCGGCGCACCTGCTGCTTCATCCACCCCTGCCGCTTCCGGCACCGGCTCAATTGGCGCAGCATCGTCCACCCCAATTCTTGCGCCAACTTCTTCCGTCACATTTCCGTTGCTGTCTGCCGCAGCCTCTGCATCCGCTCCCGTTTCCTGTTCGTTCAAATCGAGCTTCTCGCACCGACCAAACAGGGCTTCCACTGGATCGTCCGCCATGGGCACCCCGGATCCGTCCCATGCTTCTAATCCTATCATTCTCCCCCAAACAAGACCTCAAACCGACTTCGTCTACGGCGCCCACGGGCTTCGGATTCCCAAGGAGCACAGCCTTGGTACCACCCTCATCCACGCTTCAAACCATCCACAGGCAAACCATCTCGGCCCAACCCCTACTCCTCCTCCATCTCCACAGTAGCCCCTGCACCTCACACATCGCAGCAACCATTTCAAAACCAAAGTGTGTCGGAATCTTTTCAACCTTAAGATAGTTTTGATCTACATGCCAACTTCGTTTAAGTCTATTCAGTAGAACCCGTTGTTGGAATTTACGGTAGTTCTCATCGAATTCGGAGCCGTAACGTGTCTCTGAGCTGCATATAGCATTGATGGCGATACCATCGTAGGTTGGATTTAGATAACAGTTATTAACCTCTGCAAGTACGTTGCTGCCTGAGCTCGATTGGAAATAAGTGATCTGATCGCTGGTTCGGAGTTTTTGGGGACGGATGACTTCCCCGCCGTCACGACGTTAGCACTCCTACATTTGGTGATGCAACTGCACAAGCCAACTTGAGTTCAAGGTTTCCATAATCGACCAGAGGAGAGCGGATGCGCAGAAACATAATTCCAATTTCCACTACAGCTCTAGAGTCTCGAGGTCACTCTCTCAACTGTCCAGACCGTCGTCATCCAAATTGAACAATCAATAGTCTATACACCAACAGGAGCAAAACACCATGTTCATCAACTTTTTCTCCTGCACCGGTGAGCACCTGCAGAGTTGTACGCAAGCGCGGAGTTTTAGAGCGGCGTGGCTGCTATGGAGCAATGGCATGCTGGTGGACTTGAAAACATGCGGAATGCTGAAAAGGGAACGAAACTGGTAGTCTTCGTCGTTTTTCTCATCGCCTCCGCCGTCGCCGTCACCGTCCTCTCCTTGGTTTTTACCGTCGCCGTCGCCGTCGCAGAGGTTTTTGTCATTCTAATTCCTGGTTCCACGCACAATTTCTCATTCTTGCTGAATCTACCCAGTTCCTTACGTTGTCTTTACCTTTCTCATCTACCTATGCTTTTCGCTGCCTTTTTTCTTTTTCTTCTTTTCTTTTCAGTTTTCTATTGCTTCCTTCGATATTTCTTTATTTCTTTTTCTTCTTCCTCTTTAGTTGTGAAAGAAGTAAAGAAAGAAAGGTAAATTTATAGGTAGATCACACAGTGTGGAAATTCTCAATGCATGAAACGGCTTTGGTCATGTTAAGTAATGTTTAAACTAGGTGCTAGTTGAAATAATGATTTTAATTTGAATTATGTTAACAGTTGAATTAAGTTGTAATTACTAAATCTAATTTGTAGGATGATAATTATTTTTTGGATAGTGATTGTATCCAAAAATCTGGTTAAAAGCATAACTAAAAGCACTTATTATCACAAATTTTGTGTCAAGTCATGTCTGTATGTGTGTATGTTTCTTCTAAAGAATAAAATAAGCTTGCTACACCTAAATATATTAGGAAAAAAAACATTTTGGTTGGTATTTTCATGTGACATGTTTTGTAATATAAATCAAACTAACGTGAATAGAAATGATAATTTGTGATCTTGAGACTTGTATTTTGGTGAACAATGTGCTCCTTTCTGGATTGTTTGTAGGTGATTTTAACATATTAAATATTTTTTTAAAGTAATAATCGAACATAAAAACTTAGAGTTATTGTAATAAGAATTAAATTAATAAGAATTACAGCTAAATGCAACTCCATTTTAGTTAGAGGATTATTTTCAGATGACATTTTCAAAGAACCAAAGATAGTAGTAAGTTGGAACAGGCATAAAAGATTCATAATATACATTTGATTCAAAGTAGGAAAGAGAACTAGTTCATGTGTAAAACGGGGCCTTTGAGAAGTTTTAGGAATCCATTGAATTTAACGTGATACTATTTCAACGTTTTCCCTTTAATGTTCTAAACACAGTGTTTTGTTGTGCACCTGGGCTATGAGTGTGGTTGAATTTGAGATCCAATTTTTCTGTAGGATTGATAAGAATGAGCAAACATTCAATTCCTGATGAATCCTGTTTTGAACTCTAACTTGGCCCTCCATGAAGTGGGGTGTCAACTGGGTACCTATCCCTCAAAACCATATAATTGTATGGAGATTGCATCTGAAATTTTGTTGGTTGTGAAATAAACTTGTTGGGCATGGTTTACAAGTAGTGTTGTGTATTTAGCCCTAATTGTAAGAGCAATTTGATTTTTCCATCCTACTAAAATTGTCCAACTAAGGATGTCACATTGTTTCCATTGCAAAAGAAAATAAATTAGTGCAGAACATTTGAACAGATTATCATAACAATGATAAATTTTGTCTAAAATGGGATTTAGAGTCTTGTGCTATTTGTGAAAGAGGCCATATTATTTAATGCTCACACATCTTCTTCTTCATCTATTTATAAATATGATTTTTTCAACAATTCAAATGCATTCTATAACCATCTTGAGTAACATTTTTTATAACATTTTTCACCCATTGATTACACATCGATCTGTTCAAAATCTGATCATTGGGTAAGGAACAGTAATCTGTCGAAATTCTGGGTGATTTATTTATTTGTAATAGATTGGTGATGTCAACTACTGAAGCATATTGAATTTGCATTCTCAACTTGTCATGTAAATTGTTGAATTCTTTACAACCATCTGGTATCAACTGGGGAAAATTAGCATCTTTACATGACATCCTAACTTCTAGTCCTTTTTGGACTCCTTGCAAGTTCAGAGCCACCCTTTGATGCTAAGTTTTACTCCTCATGTCACATGCAATAGATCTGGTCACTGCATCCAAGTCTAGCTTGACACAGGTGGTTTGATTTCTTAAAGAATTCTGTGCCAAGGTTCAAACAAACTGAACAGAAGAACATCTTTTAAAAGCAATTTTCCAAATGAATTTGTAACATAATTACAGAGGGCATAAGTTTGTAACTTACGCCTACTTCAAAAAGGGGAATCAAGTGGAGAAAGGAAATGTAAAATTCCACAACAATTATAAGTTCTGTGAACAGGATTTTGGTTCAACTCAAATTAATGATGAATGAAGCACAGACAAAGTAGTCAAGTTGCAAAAGTTCTACCTGTAATTTACTTTTTCAGAGTTGTGGAGATCACTACACATGTAAGAAACTGAAGACAGTCATGGACTTTCTCAATTGCAATACTTGCAACTTCTAGTATATTGCTTTGCAAATTTTTAGCTCTATCTTCAGTAGAGCTTCCTTTCTGCGACCCTTGTCTTTTCGTCTTCAACTCCTTTTTTTTTTGCAATGTGGATCTTACTCTCAACAGCTGCTTGAAATGCAGCTGTTGCATCTCCTACAGCTGCAAATATAGATCCAGTCAGTGATTTTGAGGTAGCAAAACACAAGAATGAAGCGCAATTGTGATTGCAAAATTGTATCAGAACACTTATCATCCATTAACACCAAATCATGGGGACATCAAATGCAGCATCCAATAGAAGGTTGGTGATGAATAATGTAGATGAAAAATAAATTGCTCTACACATGTAGTAACAACTGCCATTCAGAATTGCATCTTCTGAACAGAGGCGCCTTGTACTGGAGATAGAAATCATGTTCTAATTCTCTTCTGATTATTACGTACATCATTTTCAATTCAAGATGTTAATAACTGAAGATGACCTCCACCATGCTTTCTTATTCTGTTAGGACCTTTCTATCATGTGAAAATTAAATATTGATTGTGAATACTAAGAAAGAAATTCTGGAAGACACGACATACCTGTGACAAAACTGTCAGACACGACTTAAATATCTGCTGTCATGGCTTGTGCTCTTATAGCAATTAATTGGCTCTTAGCCACACAATCTTTGGGTCAGTCAATCCCTTCTTCTATTTCCTGTGGAAGAACCAGTTTCCCGACCAGTAGCAAAGAGTCAAGAGGTAGATATTAAGGAATGAAGTTTATCAAAGTTACATTCTCAAAAGACCTCATCTAGAAAATGGAGTTGAAATCCTCTTAAAAAAGGTCCACACTTCTGAAACTCAAGAAGCTCAATTCAGGTAGTTTCATCAGCAATGATGTCATGATGCTTGGAAACCTGTCCCAAGAAAGAGTCTTTGCTCGCGTTCTCCAATTTAAGTAAGGCAGCTCTGCGTTGAGTAGCTTCCTCGCTACATGGCTGAGGGTCTGTATCCCTGAACTCCTCGTCATTGAGAGCATCCACTTCCTCATCATCCACCAACTGCACCGCATCTGCTCCAGCATGCTGCAGATTTGCAATACCCCTGGCCGCAAGTTCCCCTTGGCCGCAGCTGTCTGTAATGACAAGTGCACATATAAGTAATGGCCGCAATTACCTTCAGCAGATGAAAATGTAAGTCAAGCACAAAAAACCACGTAGAACAGGGGGTCTCAGAAAAATAGCAGAGAAAGGAAAAATATGAGGGATTGATACTCGACCATTTGAAAATAATCATGGAACAATCTACCCACTTCCTCCATTAATGCGAGGCGGAAATCCCAGTTGTGTCAAAAATAAAATAAAATAAAATCATGGAACAGCCTAAGTTTGTGCACACAAGCTTCAATTAAGATTGAAAAAGATCTTTGTTTATTCAATATAGCTGCTACAGGAAAAAATTAGCATAATTTGTTGACGAAATGTTTTCAAGATAAACAATAATGTCCAAGACTGATAGATCCAAAAGTGTGCGTTTGCCATCTATAACGCAGACAACCAAATGACCGCACCGCTTTCTGTATTCACCAGACAGATTAGCTTGGTACAGCTTGAAATCACTAGACCGACTAGCTTGGAACAATTAAAAAAGTGAAAGACTACTGAAACGCTAGTTCCTAAGACATCAGTAGGCTTTCCCTGAATGCACAGGAACGGTGTGACGTAGTGATCTGACGGAGGTTCAACTCTCAGATGCGGATTAATACCAAACGATAAAGCTTCCCCTCAGGCACACCAATTCTAGGAAAAACACCACAAGCATTTTTTCCACTAGAAGTTGTCATCTTCTAAAAACATTGCACTTCAGAGAAACTCCGAAGAATTGCGCTAGCCGCTGTACAGAAGTCATCAACGAATACTCTTACATGGTATAGTTCTCACCCCAAACTCCCAGCTACGAGGGTTCAAACTACGCTAGCAGCATCCGTCATGGAACAAAAATGCAATGCGCCACAATGTGTAGAAGGAAAATCCACGTTTTACAACCAAATCAATCCCTTAACACCACGAAGCAAATGTTCACTTCTTTCACAAACTCAAGCTACAACCGGAGGAGAACAACAGCCAGTTATCGCACCCACTGACGTAGCGTTGACAAGACCTCTCACAACCCCTTCCACGACTCAACACTGGCCACTCAACCAACACCGCCGTAACACCATCGCGGCTATACCTCTTTCCTGCATGTTGAATTAATATATGCTCCGCGTACTCACATTTCGCAGAATCTCTTCAGCAGCGTCCGCAGCCGCCTGCTGTATCTTGTTCAGGGCTGAGGTTAGACAGGCTCCCCAATTCTATCCACCGCCGAATGCAGCAGGAGAGGCCTCCATGTGCACCAGCTTCATCTGATCGCCTTCTGCAATGTCCATCACGACTGCCGTCCTATAGCTGTTGCTCACTCCTGTAATTGTCTCCGACGGCTTCCGTCAATTGATGCAACTCTCCTCTACTTCGGTCGGCAACCAGTCTGCCTTCTCACAGGAGGGACAGTGAACTTGCAAATCCT